TACAATACTAATGGTTAACAAGTGAGAAGATTGATCAAAGTAAACGTATGTTCTATAGTTTCCAGTTCTTTCTTGTTACATATTGTACAAATTTCTCTTAGATCAATTCTATACGTAGAGCCATTCAGCGTGAATTTGATAATGTATTTGTTGCAAAGACGTAGTTGCGCAATGGTTCTTTTGACTTGGATGGGTACATTGAGGTTTAAAAAATCTTGGTTTGACTTGGTAATTCTAAAAAAGCAATGAAGAGAGAGGAACATAGCACGGCTTGAAAGAGAAACATCTTCTTGAAATAGCTTTTCCTGAAATTTGGACAATATCATTTTTTTATTTCTATTTATGGAGCCATGTTCAATTTGAGACCAAATTTCAGGTAAGTTTAAAGAGGTGAAGAGACTTTTCAGTTGCACTGTCCAGTAAAACCTTTCGTCACAGTTGTCAAGTTTGAGCTGCCTTTTGAGACAAATCTTAGGTAATCGGGTTTCATCCATGCTCAATATTTTGGTTATCCAATTCAGACATATTTTAAACACATTGTAAATCAATTTCACTCTCCCAGTTTCTAGTCTGACAACATAGTCAGGTGATGTAATAGGCAAAAGTAAAATTCTTTTAAGGAAAACCATCTGAACACGCTCCAACATTTCAGCGTATCTAAGGCCCCAGACGGCAACACAACTGAACATGACGCTCACTACTAGGCTATCAAAAAGCTTCATTTTGCATTTCCAAGATTCTGTTTTGCTCTTGGAGATAACTGGAAGTATTGCACCTATTGCCTGTTTACCTTTTACCACCGATCTAACCGTCATTTCTCTAAAGAGAGTTGAAGATACAAATGTGACTCCAAGGTAGGAGTACTTGGAAGTGATCTCGACTTTTTTGTTTTCGAATAAAAATTTTGAGGATTCATCAACTCCAAAGCGTGCTTGAGAGAAACGCATGATTTTGGTTTTATCAGTGTTAACAGTTAATTCATTGAGACGGGTGTATTTTTCAAGAATATTGAGTTTTTTTGAAAGGTCGGTTTGAGATTCGGCAAGTATCACAAGGTCATCGGCATAAGAAAGCATCAACATGTCATTTTTATATACTATTATTATACAGGGATTCTACTTGTTGAATGTTTAATTTTTGACATTTCTTGAGGTTGACCAAAGAATGATAGTCGGGATTTCTGCTTTCATAAGAAGCTGTCGAGGTGTGAAGTAGCTTCTAGCTTGGAATAAAAAGCCTAGTTGTTATGACACAGAGCGATCAATATCTCATTTCAGCTCTACAATTTCTTCCTAATCGCCTATCAAACTGAAATGGCTCATTTTTGAGAGTCATATCCATATGGCAAGTAATTTAAAATAGGCATTCAATATTCCATCTAAGTTTGTGATCGTAAATTCGAGAATCCAGATCAAAGCGGGTCTCGAATCACATGGAAAGTTTTATGAGTTTTCATGAAAAATCTTCCCGATATCGCGTCGGGTAATTGAATCCGTGTTCTCTCAGTTCGAAATCGAATAGAGGGCCATGAAATGGCAATCTAATAATGCCGAAACTTGAATTTTGCATAGCCTATTGGCAATTCATCACTCCTCGAATTCCATTTCATACATACTAGGACAGGGGCAAACTCACTTAGAAACCTTTCAGTTTTCAGCTTTCACCAGGATACAGTGTGATTCCGTTATGTAGGACCAAACTTATTGAACTAAACTGCTCCACATTTGAAGTGGGACAAGCGAATAATTTGTTTATTTTCGAACCGTAATAACTTTGAATAGAATCAAACGATTTTTTTTTTTTTTTGTATTCGGACTGCTCAGTCAATTGGGTATGACATGATTTTCTTACGTCTCTCCACCTTTTCGGAATCATGACCTACAGGATGATATCTGAAAGTGTGAATATTTTAGAAAAGTTTGAGGTCGTTCCGTTAGTAGGATAATTTTTTATTTTCTTTTTCTGACTGCAAAAACATAAAGTCTGATGTGTTTTCTCGAAATGGTTTCGGATTCATCATGATCCATACAGGATGTTTTGAGATATGCAATTTTAAACAAAATATGGCTCTTCGAATTGTTTGAATACCTTAAATTCATTGGTTTACCCCTCGGTATAGTTTCATGTTATCTGGGTATTGTTTTTATGGTGAAGTTTTCCCAAAAGGATGGACCTATGATGCTACAGAGGCACTATGAGTACTGGATGACAAAAAATTGTAAATCTCTAGAAATACGTCAAATTGTAATTTTCTGGGAAGATATCCACAGATGAATTCCAAAGTGACCATTAACTTTTTTTATGTCACCCTGTATATGCATTCATATGAATTTAAAATATATTGATGTAACTTTTTCATTCGTGCGTAATATGCTTCTTACAAACTTGATGCCCAATTTTGAGATATTAAGAATTTCCTGAAATTTCGATTAGGGGCGTGGGAAATAGGTGGGGCTAGAGGCATTTCTTCCCCCAACTTTTTTTTTCAATGCAATTTTCGGCAGTTTGATGAGAAAATATGGAGATATCATAATTTTCACTTGAAAATAATACTCTTGTTAAGTTCGATAGCACTCACCATTTCAGAGATGAATCAATTTCAAAGAGTCTGCTGCGTAAAAAAAATAGTGCTTTTTCCTTATTAGGGTAGCAAATTCTCACAAAAATTATTTTTCGATGGAAATTAACCTTCTTTCAACTCCTTCCTGGCATGTTCGATTTTATAATCACTGTTTGTTTTGAAATCGAACGCCGAACATATTTTCATTGAAACTTTTTTCCCCAAAATGACATGACGTGAGATATCTAATGTCTATTTCATTGTGGGTCACACTGTAGACAGTAGAGTCATCATCAATTTAAATTCAATTTATTTCTGCATCGAACTATAACAGTACTAGCACACTAGCCGGTAAATAGAAATGGAAATAAAATATGTTCAAATAAATTTCACATTTTCCGATTTCAGTTCCGCCATTGCGATGAATTATTTATATTAGAATCGAATAAGAAGCAATAGACTGCAAATATTTATGATTGGATATTTCATGACAGTAGTTTATGACGCAGTTCATAATGGTTTCCATGATATTGCTGGTAATACGCTATATTTCACGTTTAGTATCAATCAAATACAGAAATATACCGGAAATAATATGGTAATATTTGGAGAAGTCTGAACAATAAGATGCCATCCTCAGTAAAACTAGAAAAGAATTGAAGATCACCTGACATTCTCTAGAAATCATCAGCGAAATAGCATGTTAATTTTGGTGATTTCTACTTACCCCTAATTATTTTACGGTTCAGGAAAGATTGGAACTAGGAGTATAATCAAGGTTATAACTAATTAATCTCCAATCTGAATTCTTCCTCAAACATTTCGTTTTCTTACGAAGTTCTCTGAACATTACAGGATAACCCTTTTCGTGGGAACCATCAGAACATAAAATAGAGATGGTCGAGAAATACTATTTTGCCGGAAATATTCAGCGATTGTTACATCTTGTTGCTCAGAACTTTTGCGAATGACATTGTTTATCTAAACTATCGTGCCATAGGCTAGAAGTTTTGGAACAATGTCATGAGCAAAATCAAAGCAGCAAGCTGGAGTATATTAATCGACAGATATTTCCAGGAAAATAATATCACGAGTTGTATTCGTATGACTATTTCATGATTGAACCAGACAATGAATGATACATGAATACAGAAATCCGTGCTGTATAATTTTGCTCCTGTATAGGGAGAGCGAGTCCAGAGAAACCGTGAGAATAATATGGTGGATTTTGATGGCTTACATTGTTATACCAGGTGTCAAGTTGTATTTCAATATGGGTTTATGGTATGTGCGAGGAGGAAATTTGTCACTTCCAATTTATTTCCGGTTTCACGGGAAATGACTCCGGTTTGGGAATTTTTAAACGGAACATCCTGTATATTATAACATTTTCGGATTTCTGTAACGATTCTGGATCAGAATATGACCTTTTCAGAAAATTTAACGCCAATACTTCATTTTTTAAAAGTCACTTTCAATGGTGTTGTCAGAAAATGATAAACGCAAAGTTTTAGTGACAAGTATCACTGATAGGGAGGATACAAGTTGACAAAATTACATTTTCGTGTCAAATTATTATTTTTGAAATCACAACCATTTTTTGACAAGCACTTTTCGAAAAAAGGAATTTTTGACGAATTTAACAATATTACTTTTTTGCGATTGGATTAAAAATAACTAAATAGATTCAGTATTACAGAGGAAAATACTGGATATCTATTTATTCACATTTGTCAAATGTTTCATAATGGATAGCCATACGATGCATAATATTCTGCAGTTATTTTCTTCGAATCTTCTTTGGAAAACGAAATACTCAGTTATTCACTTTTCACTTTGATTTAACAAAATTTTAGCAGGAAAATAAACTGAATTCTGAAGAAAATAAAGAATCTTTTACTGTCTGCTCATGAGGCTTATGTCACTGTCATTACCTGAGTATTTTGTTTTCCAAAGAGAGTTCTAAAACATAATGAATAATAAAGAAATATTCTTAGTGATATTGAAATTATGTTCTCATTTTCAATCCAATCACAAATGAATCAACTTCGTAAAATTCGTCAATGAATCCTGACACCACCTGAGATACTCAGATAAGATTTTGTCCAATCATGACCACCTAGATGCAATATTGGAAGTGACACGGAATTAATTAAGTAGGCGTCACAACTTCTAAAAATATCATGTTCTGATCCAGAATTGTCTAAGGAATTCAAAAATGTCATAATGTACAGTGTGTTCCATTTAAAAATTCAAAAGTCGGGCCGTTTCCGGTTAAACCGGAAGTGACTGGGAAGTGAAAAACATATCAAATTCAATTTTGATAAACCGAATATCCTGGAAATTATAGCTTGTCTAATAGATTCTTTGTCACCCGGTATTGGTTGAAAACACTGGAATATCAGATTCTCACATGTAATGTAATCAATTTTTTTTCCAGAACGCCTGAATGTTTTGTACGAAAAAAACTGGACCAAGCTGGTCACGGAACAATTGAAGAGGTTCGAAAGATCGATAGTGGAATCTGGTAGAAATGAGGGTCCCTTCAGTGCATCTAGAACACCCTGGACATTTTGCAGTGCCCTTTTGTACTCCATTACTTTGCTGACTACAGTAGGTGAGGATTGACATTGAATTGATACCTAACGATATACCTATGTACAGTGTGTTAGGACCTAGTAACGCTTGTGGTGCATACAAGATTTTAGCCACCTCTAGCTCTAGTGTGTTTTTATATCTGATATGTCAACCTGAATTCACTGTTCATGTGCGAGATTTGCAGGAATAGCACTCGAATCTAGTAGGTATTCATCAATAACGACTTGTCATATACTGTCATGGTAATGGCTACTAGATTTCAATCAGAATTGAAAAAAGTGCTTCTATAGTGACAATATAGGTCTATATCTCAGTTTCACAGAACTATACAGGCTGATTCACGGTGAAAGGCACATTAGACGTTTCTAGAGAACGTACACAGTGAAAAACCGCTTCGAATGAAATCCGTAGAGTATGTTTTTGGAGTTAAAATACTCTGACAAACTCACTCTAATACTGCAATCAACTCTATTACTGCAATTCTCGCAGATTATCTCCTTTGAAACGAATTCTAGATTGAATGTTCACTATTCTCGTATTGAATTCACTCTATATTCCTGAAATTTCAATATAATATCAATTCAGATAACTCAATTCACAAAATATTGAAATTGCATTCATACTAGTGTTTACTGACACTAGTGAACTTGAATATTCCTCTCTTGTCGATTAAATTGACACTCTATCATTGTTCAATTCAATCTACGATGAAATATCAATAATCTATACAGTTTCAGATCGTTCAGTCTACTAGATAGTAAAATAAGTGATACAGATTATAATGTCGATGATATAATGATCATGTTATTAGCTTCAAGTAGCTTTTTCACTATATCCGCGTAGTGAGAAATTTTTTTCAACAATTAGTTATGAACGTATTTCCGTATACCTATCTCAGTTATTTTCCGTTTCGAATTATTATTTCGAACAATTTATGAAACAGATATAGGTTAACCAATTAGTCTAGTGGGACTCGAGTCATTATTCAAATATCAAACGATTAAAATATTATAAAGTCACACTACTTCTCATCGTCAATTTTCGCCATAGCATAAAGGTGGCGCTTCGCCGCTGAACGTCTGTCGGGGGCCTATAAATACTGTGACATGTGGAAGAAATTAAAGAATGGTTAATTTAACTTGGATGAAATCTCAACAGGAAGTAGTGTCTAGTTTACTCAACTAGTGTTCTATCAATCTAAAATGATGAATAAATGATAACTCCTTATTAGCACCTGAACAATTAGTAGTGTCAGTTTGAACAATGCAGGAGCAATTTGACATCCACGTAGAGTGAATAATTCAATCAACTTCCGGTGGATCCGACACTTTTTATAATGTGGAATCTACTCTCTACTATTATATTACAACTCTAAACTTTTGTGACTATATGTAATATTCGGTTATTGAATTTCACTCTATATAGAGTGATGATATTGACACTGGCTTTGGTCTTGAGTGGAATATTCACTCTCGAAATTGTTTCTTTCAACTCTATATTTGTGTTCATTCAATATATTTAGACAAATAAATAGAGTAAGTTGTGCTTGCATTGAAAACTTACACTAATTGAATTGAAAAAAATCACACTATAATATACTAAACTATATAGAGTTAAATCATTTACTCTAAAGCTGAGTGGTCCTCCTGGGAACAGGTATAGTGTCAAATTTCACTCTATTTTTTTTACTGTGTATTTTGAGATTATCTTGAAAATTTTATGCCTTGGATAATTAGTTGTGCTCTATCGATGCCGCTTATATTGAAAATTAGCAACAACTTTGATTTTTCAAATAGGACACAGGGTGTCAAATATCATTCCATTTTCCGATTCTCCCTGAAGAGCTGATTTCATCGACCTATGACACTTGGTGTCTAGCAGTGACAATTACAGAGATATAGGGTGTGAAAAATCGAGATTTTTCAACTTTAAGATTTTTTTGTGTCGAAACTATTCATAATTGGTCAAAACGATTCCCATATCCCTATTCAACTGTTCATTCAATATCAATCGATATTTAATTGGAATAGGTACAGGGTGGTTCAGAATTAAGAGTTTCAACCACCCTGTATCTATTTCAATTAAATATCAATTGATAGTACATGAAAAGTTGAGATATTGACATGGGAACGTTTTGTCTAATTATGAATAGTTTCGACACAAAATCATATAGTATTGATAAATTGATGAAAATCTCATAGAAACGAAATGATTACAATCAATAAAAATTTAAACATCAGGGGCAAAATGTCAAGTTTTCATTTGAGTGGACCAAAGAACAAGATACGAAGATCTCGATGATTTTTCGACGTATTTCAGTTGATAACTGATTTTCGATCAATTTAAAGCCTGTATTTCGTATCGTTACCATAGCAACTAAACAAATTTCTTGGAAATTGTTTCCTCCTTCTTGGTGGACAGAGCATGAAATTACACTGGAAATATATTGACGTTTATAGTTTAAATGACATTTATATTCAACTTCAGATCATTCGAGTTCATTCTATAAGTCAATAAATAAAAATCATTCATCAACAGTTTACCATAATTATAATATTATGTAGGTATACTTGCAAATTCGAAATTTACAAAAACACATGTTGTTACTATACGTTAGTTCTTACATTTCAATCATTTCATCACAAACAACCATCAACATGCAAATTTTCTTACCGAATACCACTTTAGTTTCAATTAATATCCGGGAATTTTTTCTCGAACACGAATATTCAGAAAATTTTCCCTCGTTTTCGACTCGGGAGAATTTTCAAAATGTTCGTGTTCTCGAAAAAATTTCCGGAAATAATTCAAGCTCTCGTGATATTATAACTGAAAATTCGTTATGCTCTTCTCATGTCGCATAGAAGTATTTTTGCTCATCCACCATTATTTCAAAACAGGGGTTTTGGCGAATGAGCATCAGACTTTCAAAGACGTCGCAGACTTATTATCAATAATTTTTTGTTTTGAACAGAACACAAAATCGAAATTCCAGAGGTTTCAATCTGAGCCAGGGGCCAGGAATGTTTTTCCATAGTTTTCATGTCGTCGCAACAACAAATGATGACCTTGGCAACTGCGAATAAGTACTTCCAATTATTCGGGTTATACATCGATGATTTGTTGCCGAATTGTTACAAAGAGCGTCACTTAAACATTTAAAAAAATCCGACCACCAAGCGGGAGTTTGTATGTAGCTATGAATCAGTTTCTATAACTGCTCATGATAACTTTTTTAACAATGCAGCAAATAAATCTCAAGCAATGTGGCAAATCATAAATTCCCGAAAAAACTCAACATCCACCCCTGAGGGTACTAGGCTCAATGCTCATGTCTTTAATAATTTTTTTAATTCAATAGCTGACGAATTAATCTAAAACCTTCATAGTACAAATTGCTCCTACAACGATTATCTAACAAACAAATATACATGCTGTAGCTTTGTGTTTCGAGAAGGCAGTCAATTTTGAATCTAGATAAAATCTCAGCCTCAAAAACAGTAGCAGCAAAGACTGCTATGATATAAACGCTACAATCATCGAACAGCTCAAGGATATAATATTATGTGAACCATTGACTGACATGTTAAACCACTGCATTCGTGTAAGTAAATTTCCATCCCATCTTAAGCTAGCAAAAGTTATTCCCATCTTTGAAAAAAAGGGTGATCCCGAATATCAAACCAACTACAGGCCGATATAATCGTTGCCAATAATAACAAAAATATTTGAAATCAAATGAATGAATATTTCGAACTAAATGACATATTTTCACTAAACTATTTTGGTTTTCGCAATAAACAAAGTACTATCTTAACCATCAACTAATTGAGTATGAATAGCTGAAGGCCTTGAAAATAAACAGAATACTTATGCTACCTTCCTTGATTTGACGAAGGCGTTCGATTGTATATCTTTCGAAATCCTCTATGAAAAGCATTTCACTTCAATTTTAACCACCAGTGTCGTTCTTGTCGAGTCATATTCGGAGGAGAGGGAGCAATATGTTTTTTTCAATAATGCTGAATCAAAAACACAGAGGATTCAGCACGGAGTTCCACAAGGATCTGTGCTGGGTCCTCTGCTGTTCCTCATTCACATAAATGGCCTGCCTAACTTCGCCAATGACAATGATTACCGGATTGAGAATTTGTTTTTGGCTAACAAATTGAGTCTAAATGCTGACAAGACGCATAATATGAACTTCACTTCCCAAACCTATTCATCAAACCTAGAATGTCAGGCATCAGTCGAATATTTGGGGGTCGACCAAGCTGTCCAAAATAACTTTCCTAATATGAAGCCTTTCAAAAAATGTATCCAGGGACACCACTCTATCGGCTTACCATGGATACTTTAATTCCAATTTATCCTATGCAATTTTGAACTAGGGTCATTCCCCCAATACTGTTCAAATCTTTAAATTACATAGACGCAGTGTTAGAACTATTCCAGGTTCAAAATATCGAGATTGTTGTAGAAATGGTTTTGCAGAACTAAGACTCCTTACATTTCCTTGTACTTTTATATCTCACTGCCTCACCCACATAAAACTGAACCTAGTAAACTCCAGATCACATAGGGATATCCACTCATATTCAACTAAATAGAAATAGAGATAATTTAGTCCTGAGCTACCACAGGTTAGAACGTACAAGAAGGAGCAAAAATATATATAATGCTCTTCCTATAGAGATAAAAAACCTAGATTTCAACTATTTCAAATCCAAAGTCAGAACGTATCTTTTAAGAAATGCCTTCTATTCCATCGATGAGTATCTAGAAGGTGATTTCAACAAGTAAATTTCGATATTTTATATATTAGTACCTTACTTAATAAGTGTTGTCCTACTATTTGTAGTCTTTTTCACTATTTTATATCAATTGTAACATTTTTCCTCTCCCCTTTTTATATATCTGACCTGTAAAAGCACTTTAGTGTAATACTTTGCCAATAAATGTACTAATGTAAACTAAACTAAATAATGGAAATGCAAATAATTCTAAATTTCTGATTGGTGGAACTACTCTATGTATATCCACGTATATTCGAAATCATGCAAGGTAGCTCAACGTTCTGATTGGTTTAAAATCATACGAAGAAAATAATGATAATAATAACTATTATCATTAGGTTACAGCAAACTGTCCCCAAAAACGGTGCTGGGCAAAATATCCTCGATGGTATACGCCGTGGTGGGGGTTCCTTTGATGCTGATCCTGCTGTCGGCCCTGGGAGGCTTCTTGGCCAAAGAGGCCCAGCGGGGCTACTCGAGGATGTGCTGCCATCGCAAGGAGGGCGCGCTGAAGAGGTCCTCGTCCTCTGTGGGGTACCGCAAGGCTCCTACCAGCCCGACGGGGAGATTGCGGTGTAGGTCGCACGATGGTGAGTTGGTGGATGAGGTCGTTTTCATTTTGATCTGGTTTTTTTCAGATTTATTTCTTCATATACTGTCATCACCCTTTTTTCAGTTGTATTTCAGAAAGTTTCAATTGTATTTCAAAATGGTCACTTGTTTTGTAGAGAGCATCAATTGTATTCCAGAATAGTCATTTCAATTTCAGAAAGCGTCAATTGTATTTCAGAAAAGTCTCTTGTATTCCAGGAAGCTTGAGTTGTCTTTCAGAATTGTTAGTTGAATTTCAAAAAGCATCTATATTATATTTCAGAATTATCAATTGAATCACAAAAAGCATCAATTGTATTTTTCCGGAATCGTCAATTGAATTTCAGGATAGTCATTTGAATTTCAGGAAACGTATTTCAGAAAAGTTACTTCAATTTCAGAAAACATCAATTGTATTTCAGAATAGTCACTTGTATTTCAGGAAGCAACAATTATATGTCAGAATTATCAATTGAATTTCAAAAAGCATCAATTATATTCCAGAATAGCTACCTGTATTCCAGATAGTGCAATTGTAATTCAAAATATTCATTCGAATTTCAGAAAGCGTCAATTGTATTTCAGAATAGTCAATTCAATATCAGATAGCGTCGATTGTATTTCAAAATAGTCACTTGTATTACAGAAAGCGTCAAATGTATTCCAGAATAGTCAATTCAATTACAGAAAGCGTCAATTGTATTTCAGAATAGTCAATACAGTTTCAGAAATAGTCGATTGTATGTCAGAACAGTCACTTGTTTTAAAGAAAGCGTCAATTGTATTTCAGAATAGTCATTCCGCTTTCAGAAATCGTAGATTGTTTTTCAGAATAGTCACTTGTAATTCTGAAAGCATCAATTATATTTCAGAATAGTCACTTGTATCACAGGAAGCGTCAATTATATTTCAGAATGTTCATTTTGAATCACAGAAAGCTTCAATTGTATTTCAGAATAGTCAATTCAATTTCATAAAGCATCAAGTTTTCTTCAGAATAGTTAATTTTGAACAATAGAACCAAGTTGATATATTAACTCTGATGGTCTCCAACTATGAATGTCTGTAATCTGTGAAAAATGAATATGCTGGGGTGATTAATTTGGAAATATCACTTCACATAGCTCTTGGGAGCGCTGAACACCCTATACATTCTCACATGGAATGCTCTTGCTACTCACTTCTCAATCTTGATGATTCTGGAATGAAAATGATGGATTCTGAAATTCAAAGGATATGTTCTGAATTACGAATGACACTTATTGAAATCCAATTGACTATTCTGAGATACAATTGACGCTTCCTGAAATCCATGTGATTATCCTGAAATACACTCTGGACGCTTCGTGAAATTGAATTGACTATTCGGAAATACAATTGACGTATTCTGAAATCCAGGTGATTATTTTGAAAAACAATGGATGCTTTTTGTTATAAAAGTGACTATTCTGAAATACAATCGAAGCTTTCTGAAATCCAATTGACTATTCTGAAATACAATTGACGCTTTCTGAAAGACGATTGCTTTTCGAAATTTAATTGACAATTCTGAATTACAATTGTAGCTTCCTGAAATACAAATGACTATTCTTAGATACAATCGACGCTTGCTGAAATCCAGGTGATTATGTGGAAATAATAATAAAAATACAATGAACATTTTCTGTAACACATGTGACTTTTCTGAAATATAATCGACGCTTTCTCAAATTTAGTTGACTATTCTGAAATACAATTGACGCTATATTTAATATAAGTGACTATTCTGAAATACAAATTGACGATTCCTGAAATACCAGTGACTTTCCCGAAATACAATAGACGCTTTCTGAAATACAATTGATGCTTTTTGAAATTCAATTGAGAATTCTGAAATACATTTGATGCTTTCTGAAATACAAGTGCATGACTATTCTAAAATACAATTGACGTTTTCTTAAATTTGAATTAACGCTTTTTGAATTACATCTGGAAAAGGTGTAGGTATTTTTACAGTTTCTTATGCTCCATATTTTGAAGATATTCCACAATTATACAGAGGGATACACAAAAGCAAACAAGCACAGAATTCACTTTTTCAAATGGAATACACTTTAAATTTTTTTCGTTATCGATTCTTCTCTCCACTGGCTTTCCAACCTCAATAAGAAATTGAAAATTCACTGCGGTGAATGTATAGTTTTTTTTATATTTTTATACTTCTGCAAGGCTTGATATAGGTACCTAGTAGTTATCCTTACAAGTGCGAAAAGTCTGTTACGCACGTAATGGGTATATTATTTTTCCTACTAGCATGCGGAAAAACCCCGAAAAATATCATAAACATTATTGAATGTGTATCATCAAAATCAATTATTGAGTGCAATTCGTTACATTCTGCAAATCAATTGCAAGTACCTTTCTGCTGTTGAATCAAATGATGTTCAAATTCACTTCAAATTTGATCTGAAGAATTTAATCTCAAAAAAGTTATGTTTGAAATTAGTCGGTACGACCCGTAACTAGCGCCCTCTTTGAGAGGCAGATATAAAAACTAATGCATGCAATGTGTCAGCTTCCAGAACATATCCAAACGAAATTTCATTACAATGTTGCCAGTAGTTCCGACAGAATCGTGAAATATGTGTAAAAACAACACCTTGTATTGGAAACAAATGCCGTTATGAACTTTTTCCCCCTGAGCAAATCAAACTTATTTTACAGTGTTCTAAGCTACTCTAGCAAGAGGGTCACGTCTTTTTGAACCAGTTTGTATAAATCGGAAATCTATAAAATAATAAACATTCGATTTCTCTTCCCGTACAACCAGATTCAGCATCGATACAAATCGCCTTCCCCCCCGCTACCCCCAATCACATCACCAAACCTACCCTCAACCACCACGGCTCGCCGGCCCACCCCAGCCACCAGGACGTCCCGAGACGAGCCCTATTGGCCCACGCCGACCACCAGGACGTCCCGAGACGGGCCCTATTGGCCACGGTGAGACGGGGAAGAGGGGGCAAGACGCCGGTCGAAGCGACGCCTTGTCCGACGCATTCTTGCCACGGGACGCCGCAGCGGGGAGGCAGAGGGGTAGTGTGTGAGGCGGACGAGGCTGAGGATACTGATGAGGGCGAGCTGGTGATGTGAGTTTTTTTTGTTTTTTTCTACATGGCTTTATTCATTTTATTTTTTTTGAAATGATTCGACCGTTACTTCATGGAAATCCATGGCAAATGTAAAAACTTCGCTAACACAGTAGCTTCGTCCGGTGATATAATATTTATTTATTGAGACCTATATGGAGTCAGCAAGTTCACTGAAGCTTTAACCTGTCATTTGTCAATCCCTTCAACAGGACATTGTTATTTTTATGTTTTGTTCTTATTTATTTTTATCTTATTTTTTGTTTTATATATTTTATTCAGATCATTTGATGTTCCATCTTTAACATACTTATAATGTATTTTTGATCATGTATTCTTGTATTTTAATTCATCCATTTCTGCACTTTAGTGATTGAGGGTGAAGATTATCTTTATTTTTAAGCACTATGGCTATTGTAATTATGACTTGCCGTACATGTAATTTACATAACATGGTCAAATAAACTACTCTACTCTTCTCTACTCTATACTGGTACGATGAACTAAACTAACATTGGCTTGCTTATACAGGGCGTTAACAAAAAGTGTCACAACAGACTGTAGATTCCTCATAAAAAAAATGTTTTCCCTTTCGAAATTTTTCCCGGGGCTTCCGTTTTCAAGATACAGGGCGTCAAGAAAATACAAAAAAAAACTGTTTTTGCTACTATCTCAGGAACCGTTTGAGCTGCGGAGTTAAGCCTTCGTACGCACTTCATCATCAATAATGACTACTTTTAGGGCACTTGATCAATTTCCTTGGATATGTCAGTGGAGGAGAATTCAACGCCTCGTAAGGGTTCAACCCCCCAAATATTTATCCCACTGAAGAAATTGTAATTTTCAAAGTAGATTCTGAAGCGCCAATATCTTTCACACAAAAACGTCCTCTTGTCCTAATGCTCTAAAGTGAACAGTTTCCGCGAAAAATGGCTCTTTATGAATAAGAACATACAAAATCCTGATGGTAGTTCCAAGAATCGTCTAAAAATCCACTGGAAATAAACACCTCAGAACTGTCTAATAATTTATGTTCAATCAAAAGTCAGGTTCTTGAGTATATGTTGGTCTCGATGCTGGTTTGCAAATTGCCAAGTTTATTAAGTGTATTTAATTGAACTGAACATTCTTGATTTTTTGATGCCCTGTATCTTGAAAACGGAAGCCCGACGAAACATTTTGAAGAGGAAAGAAATGTTTCTTTTATTATGAGGAATCTACAGTTTTCCGTTGTGACACTTATTTGTATTGTACCCTGTATATCCTACTTTCCCAACCTGAAGGATTGGATACCTATGGTCAGGTTCGATAAACCTTCATTTTCGGAAATTAGCCACAATATCTACATTAAAATACGGTGTACCGGATTAACTTGAAAGGGTTGTTATCAAATACATATTATTACTCACTAAGAAAACAAATTCAACAGTGGTGAACTATTGAGGTATAATTGATAGTTCAGTAAAATGTCAGAATTTTTGAGTTTGTTGATTTCTAATGAATCAAAATGATTGAGTTTCATTCCTTTATTTTTTACGTGTAGAATCTCGAAATTCTCATCAATATCTTCTAATATATGGTTGGCGTATGTTGAATTTGTTTTCTTTTTCAAAAAATGTATCTTATGTTCATGAATGCGCTGATTAAACGTACGACCTGTCTGACCGATATATACCCTAGGACAAGATCCACATTAGAGTTTGTATATCCCTGATTTTCCGAATTCAGAAGTTTTGTCTTCATTATTCTTGATAAATCTTCCCAACGTGTTATTTGTACTATATGCTACTTTTCAGTCCTATTCATGTAGAAATGAAGCTAATTTTTCAGTTGATGATCCAAAATAGGTTAAAGTTCTATAATTTTGATTATTATTTTTGATAGTAGGATAAACTTCTTGAATAGCTAGAACAAATTACACGTTGGGAAGGTTTATCAAGAATGATAAAGACAAAACTTCTAAATTCGAAAAATTCTTCTTCATGTTGGGAAAAGTCGAATATATAAGCAAGCCAATGTTAGGTTAGTTCATCGTACCAGTATATCACCTGACGAAGCTACTGTGCATGGAAGGAAGGACCTCCTATCAATGCCTCCTATCAATGCAGACATTGCTGTCTATACGGACTGCTCCGAAACTGAGGAAGGATCAGGAGCTGGTATTTATGAGGCCAAGCCAAAGACAAGAATCTCACTGAGCTCAGGTAAATACGCGACGGTGTTTCAGGCAGAAATTATTGCAATACATCATTGCGTGAAAGAATTGATGAGGCAAGAGTTTAAAGGCAAAACCATTGCAATCTATCCAGATAACCAGGCGACAATCAAAGCAGTCAAGTCTATGCAAGTTTACTCAAAACTAGTATGGGACTGCTTAGAAACCCTAAATGAACTGGGCAGTCAGAACAGACTGACTCTAGCATGGGTACCAGCATACAGGGTATGAGGGCAATGAAGAGGCAGACTCACTTGCCCGAGCAGGAGCAAACAAAGCTCTGAATGGCCCAGAACCCTTCTGTGGTATTGCGAAAGCTGTACAAAAGACTAGTATCAAATCATGGAAGCAAACCAAATCTCAAGAATGGTGGAACAACTTGCCAGGAATGAGACAGGCAAAAGAGTTTATTGAAAAACCATCGCCAACATTTACAGATTATCTACTGAGCCAGAAGCGAAGTTCAACTAGAATACTAGTGGGACTTCTCACAGGGCATTATAGGCTCAACAAACAAATGAATACGATAGGTCTGACTGAAGAACTGCTCTGCAGGTTCTGTCAGGAAGAGGAGGAAACAGCAGTACACATACTTTGCCACTGTGATGGCTTGTCGAGACTAAGGTTCCTCACGCTGGGTGAGGAAAAACCAGAAGCCCAAAGATACACAGGGGATCTGAAAGCTAGCCTATGGAGTCTCATAGAGAAGGCGGGGCTAGCCGAAGAACTCTAATCGATTTTGAGGACAGACACAATAGATCTGAGAAGGTCGCGGTATGGAGGCAGATAGCCCCATTCTAAACCTAATCTAATCTACTGTGTTAGCGAAACATGTCGTGTGTTTGACAATTTTGTGGGAATCTTATCGTTTGTGAAGTTTTTACATTCATCATTGTCGTTCGAAATGAAAATTGATATTTCAACAATATTGCAACCCAATTTCAATGCAACATGTAATGTTGAAAAAGCCATTGTCACTGTCTTACTGCAAGGTCGCAGTAACCACTGAAACGGATATTCAGTAATTATAGGCATGTTCGTTTGTATTGCTAAACATGCCTAAGTTGATTTTTTCCCCATAGTTGTCTCTGTTCATGGCATGATGTAAATAAAGAAAGTCACAGAAAAAAATCAAGTTCAGCAGGTAGAGCAAGGACAAACGAACAGGCCTTGTAATGATATGTTCTCAAATGAATCATTCCAGCAAGGTTATCGCATTGTTACATCAACGCTGACAGACCAATCAGAATTGAAAGACAGCTTAAGTTTTCGGGATAAGCACACATTGTCTTTGGCTTATGATAAGATTATACAGGGTGCTTCAAGATTCAGAATTGTGATCACTCTGTATCTGTTCCAATTAAATGTCAGTAGATTGTGAATCGAAAGTTGAGATAGGGACATGTAAGCCTTTTTGATCGATAATGAATAGTTTCGACACAAAAAAATACTGAAATTGAAAAATCTCGATTTTAAACACCATATATCTCTGTAATTATTTCTGCTAGACCCCAAGTGTGATGCATTGATGGAATCAGCTCTTCAGGAAGAATCTGAAAATGCAATAAAATACAGGGTGCTCCGTTTAAAATAACGAAGTTGCTAGATGTTATTGAAAACAGTGGCAACCCTGTATCGATGGAAATACTTTAGACGGATAGAGAATGTTCAATTATCCAAGCATTCCAATTTTCAGAATGTTCTGTCTTTTCGTTCTCCAGATACTTCTTATAAGCCATCCACCGTGGATCACCCTGTATGTATGACTTGAATCCTATCAAATCATTGAAAATCACGTGATGTTTCAGATGTCCGGCGCACGACACCCCCTCCCGCATCCCTCTGATCTGGCGACCGCCCGAACCGACTCCATCTTCCCCCACGAAGCCATCTTCCGCCGACGCGCCAACACTGCCCGCCCTCCTCGTGCTCGTCATCTTCGTCGCGTACGTCTGCGCAGGCGCCCTGCTGCTCTGTCGCACCGGCGATTGGTCCTTCCTCGACGCCGTCTTCTTTTGCTTCACGGCGCTGTCGACGATCGGCGTGGGGGAGGGGGTGCCCGGAGAGGGGATGACGGAGTTCCAAGGTCAGGTGCAGGTGATCGCGTGTTGCGCGTATGTGTTCGTGGGGCTGGTGGTGGTGGCGATGTGTTTCAGTTTGGTTTATGAGGAGATCGCGATGAGGTATCGGCAGATTGCCAGGAATGTGGGGATACTGAGACAATAGACTCTTTCAAAATGCTGTCTCTGTATGTTTTATTTATTTTGTGTTATATTCTATATGAATAAAATGTTGTTTCAATTTAACAAAATGTCACTGCGTTTAAAAATGTCACTATTAGTGAGCCTTGGAGAAAAATTCAATCTATTATTGTCTTGTTGTTAAAAATTTTTGAGGAAGAAGAATACAGGATACATCTTCATATAACGCGATCTTTATTATGAAGAACTAATACCGTTTCACACTCGTCGCACTACTTTTTCGACACTGAATGTTTCTCGTCTTCATTTATCACGTGTAATTATTCAAATATGTATACAGGGTGTTTTAGAATAACATCAGACGGGAGATGATTCCGCAAATAAAAATTTTAAAAAATGATGTTCCTCAACATGTGTCCTTGAATTCGGTTTTCTTCAATTATCTTTGTTACCATTGATCCTATAATCACGAAATTTGGTACCTGACGGTGATTCAATCTGAGGAATCGTTCTGTGGCAGAGTACAAAATTATTATACAGGGAGGTACAAAAGTCGTAACCGATACTATCAAAATGTCCCAAGTTTTTTTGTCTCATGATATATATCATTTCTATTAACAATATAATTCTTCAAACACTTTTATTTGAAGAAGGTTTTTTTATTAGAGTGCCGTAAAACGAACCGTTTTTGAAAAATGGGTCAATTTTTCACCTCTAGTGAATAAGTTTGTGAAATTTAGTCCATTTCCATTCCAGATATTTTGTCAACAAATCACATCACAACTAACTTTCATTGAACAGAACTAACTGGAAATGTGAAACTTTGACTATGAAGTTCAATATTCTCATCATATATAAGAGCACATGCTCAAAATTATTGGTGATTCTTCTGGTCATCAAATTGAAAATTTACACTTTTCTCGAATATGGTTCGTTTCACGGCATTTTAACAGAAATAACTTTGTCATGTAAAAGTGTTCGAAAAGTCATATACTGATGGAAGAACTAGGATAAATCACGAGACAAAAAAAATTTGAGGCATTTTTATTGCATCGGTTACGAGTTTCGCACCTCCCTATATTATTAATCATGTTTCATGTATCAACTAACGATTCGTGAGATCGAAACACTCCTATGTATCAAATTTCGTGTTTCTACGATCAATGATAACGAAGATTATTGAAAAAACTGCATATAAAGACCTACTTTCAAAGGGTTCTAACGCCAATAGAAAGCATTTTCGTACACTTGTCGATAGGAATATTTTGTCTTATTTTTGTCTGCAAAATCACCTCCCGGAGTATACGATCGTTATTTTGGGACACCCAGTATGAACTGAATGCATTATTTCTCTTCAGTGGAGATTGGTATAAAGTTATAGCATTATTCTGGAAATTCGAAGAATTGGAAAATCCAACTAAAATATTCTCATTATTAATTGTGAAGATCCCGGTATATCGGGAAGTGGCGTCATTGTTATTTTCAATAGTAAACCCTCTGTCACATTACACTGTTCCATCATAATCGATTTTCAGACGCCTGGACACATGTTTCGCTATGTTAACATCTTCAGGAAGAAATTAAAACTAGATACCTATCTTATTAGTATGCTTTCTTGGCTAAAATGTCAATGAACAGTTCGAAGCGAATGTGAAAAAAATATACGAGTAGGTATTTGCTTACACTTCGTATTAGATATGTTGACTTTATTTTTAACATTTTTGATATGAAAACTACGGATATATAGATAACATCATTTCAAAATGAAATTATTACTGTTCATTACGTTGAGATTACTGATTGGCGAACACTCGCTGAAAAGTGTAAACTATCTGGTATAACCTTATGGATGGTCTAGTTTCAACCGTTTCTGTATGAACAATCTGATATCATTTTGTTGTTTGCTGGTCCTTCCTCGACGCCGTCTTCTTTTGCTTCACGGCCCTCTTGACGATCGGCGTGGGGGAGGGGGTGCCCGGAGAGGGGATGACGGAGTTCCAAGGTCAGGTGCAGGTGATCGCGTGTTGCGCGTATGTGTTCGTGGGGCTGGTGGTGGTGGCGATGTGTTTCAGTTTGGTTTATGAAGAGATCGCGATGCGGTATCGGCAGATTGCCAGGAATGTGGGGATACTGAGACAATAGACTCGTTCAAAATGTCTGTCGTGTGTTTTATTTATTTTGTGTTATATTCTCTATGAATAAAATGTTGTTTCAATTATGCAAAATGTCACTGCGTTTGAAAATGTCACTATCAGTGAGCCCTGAAGAAAAATGCATTCGTTTGTTGCCTTCTTGGAAAAGCATTTTGAGGAAGAAGAATACAGGGTACACTCGTCCCACTAGCTCGATCTCTTGTGTAACTATCAAAATATGTATACAGGGTGCCCCAAAATAACGTTAGACAGTAGATGAGTCTGCATAAAAAATAAAAAAAAAATGTTCCTATCAACTGTGTCAAAACATGTATCTATGTATTCAGTTTTCTTGAATTATCTTTGTTACCATTGATCCTAAAATTACAAAATATGGTACCTGAGAGTGATTCAATCTAACAAATCGTTTCGTGGTAAAGGAAAAAATTATTATACAGGGAGGTGCAGAACTCGTGAGCGATACTATGAAAATATCCCAAGTTTTTTTGTCCCATGAAATATCTAATTTCTATGAACAGAATATAGTTAATCCAAATTTTTCGGTTTCCTCAAAAATCTCTAGAATTTTTCAAAGAGTTTTCCAGCTGTAATTGGTAAGAGGTAGTAGGATCACGTATCATGTCAAATTCCCCTAAATCCAAAAAATACATTTTTTGATCAAAACTTTTCTTCATAATTCTCTCACATAATCATTTAGTTCTTGAATGAGTTCATCAACTGCCTCATTGATATCTCTCATAGTATACATTTTATTGCTCAGTTTTCTATAGTCTTCAGAATATTTATATGATTGTTTTTAGTTTCCATTGTTTCTACATTACCAGGTAGATTAATGTTCAATAATATGATAATGATTGGTTCACTAGGTTTCCATTATCATTGATACGAAATTGCTCGTTGTTTTTGTTATAGATAGAACGCCTGTTGTCATTTTTGAAAGTATTAAAAAAACGAATTTGTTAGTTGATGATCAATAATTTAATTCTCCAAAGTACAAATATCACCAGTAAACTCAGTGGTAAGTAGGTCTTCCAATTGGCCACGTAACCCATGATGGAGTATATTGGACTTTCGTACTCCCTGGGAGACTTCTTCAAACTCCTTTGTGTCGGTCTGTAAATGAGTTGGTACATGCAAGATGCAAGGTGTTATTCTTCTTGGAATTTATTTTTTGACATTTTCATTCTCATAGCTGCACAATTATTCAATGGTTGCTCAAAATAATTGAGTTCATGTTGAAAAAACATACCGCAATCCCACCTTGATAAAATAAAAATAATGCTACTGTATATAAAATGATCTTCCTAATCAGATGCTGTTCAAAAATACAGAGTGGTTCATTCGAAAATTGATGACGCTTCCAACCCGAAAGTTACTCAATAACCCATGTGACACAGACACATGGTCCGCTCTAGTGAATTTTTTCACTAGTCCACACTTTTTGACATATCTGAGAAAAAACGATTTCCAGTTTTTCCGGAAATGACACTCTTGAAATTTTCGGAATTATCTGAATCCAGTGAGTACACATTTTATTTCAAATTAAACGCTTATATATACTATTTTTTGATGTATGCTATTCATCGTACAGGACGTGGAAAGAAATTCTGAATTGAGAAAACCCTTTTCCTGCTATCGGAAACATGTTCGCGGAGGAATATTATTTTCAGAGGCATCGGAAAAAAACTTCAACAACATAATAATATACTACCATATAAAATCCAAATAAAACTCAAATTCATCCTCCATTTTGACTCGTGAATATGACAAATTTCGCGCATGCGCAAATAGGTATTTTCACCCGCAGACTGTCATTTGTTTCCTCAAAACTGCTGGCTTCACTTTTGACTATGGAAACATAGGATGTTATCCGTATATATTTAGTAGATATATGTGATAAACGAGGTTTGTTGGTCACGTGTGGGTCAATTCGGCTTCTGTATTTGTAGAGCAAGTCCGATAAAATTTAGTAAACAAAAATATCGCTAGAATACAGAAGGAACCGTGAAAATGGTCGATTTTGATAGGTTCTCAAGATCAAGAGTGGAATAGTCGCTGATAAATTGCCTCTTCCTTTGATCTAGTAGCTATTGGCGCCTGATATCACTTCAATTTCTGTCGCATCAAGTTTGATTGATGGGTATACAGGGTGTTATTTAAGTACGTGGCCAAACTTGAAGGGGTGATTCTTTGAGTGATTCTAAGACGAAAAGTTCATATAAACATAGGTCCGGTAATGCTTCGTTTTCAAGATACAGGGTGTCAAAATTTTTAAAAGAAATCGTTTTTTTCGTAAATATCTTAATAACCCTTCAACCGATTTTATTGAAATTTGGCAGTGTTATTCAAGGTCATAAAAGGCTAATTTAACCCTGACTATATCAAAATTATCATGTCCAGTGGCGTCCCGGAAGGCACTGTAACCAATATTTTTGACAGAAAAAATATGCGCCACTGATTTTTTTGCAATTTTTGTATTTGTTTCACATTGAGCAACTAAAATTACAACTTTTTTATTTCTAGAATTTTTCCCGTATCTTGCTTTGTTTTTGAGAAAAAACATAAAAATCACTTCATTGCACATTCCTCTGTGACGAGCCGAAGGCAAGTGCTGCAATTCATACATACATATTTTTTGTTTTTTCATTGCATTAATTTTGATAGAAAATTCCAAGACTAGAAAAGAGTATTAATATGAAAAAATGAAAAAATATTAGTAAGGCCCCAGTTTTTGATGGTTTAGTAGTTGAAATGTTTTATTGTGTTGTCACAGGGATGTGCAATGAAGTGATTTTTAGGTTTTTTCTCAAAAACAAAGCAAGATACGAAAAAAATTCTAGATATAAAAAAGTTGTAATTTTAGTTGCTCAATGTGAAACAAATACAAAAATTGCAAAAAAATCAGTGGCGCACATTTTTTCTGTCAAAAATATTGGTTACAGTGCCTTCCGGGACGCCACTGGACATGATAATTTTGATATAGTTAGGGTTAAATTAGCCCTTTACGACCTTGAATAACACTGCCAAATTTCAATTAAATCGGTTGAAGGGTTATTAAGATATTCACGAAAAAAACGATTTCTTTTAAAAATTTTGACACCCTGTATCTTGAAAACGAAGCATTACCGGACCTATGTTTATATGAACTTTTCGTCTTAGAATCACTCAAAGAATCACCCCTTCAAGTTTGGCCACGTACTTAAATAACACCCTGTATGGTTCACGCATAAATTAGCAAGATGAGCCGCTCAAGGAAAATTTCGTCTGAAGAAACCAAGAAAATATGAGAAAATCAATTACGCAAGCTACCAGTTACACGGAATCATCAATAAAGGTAATCATTATTGTTGTTTATTTGTATATTGTCGTTGATTTATCTTGCCAAAAAACACTCGAACCTTTTTATTAATAGAATTTATTGAATTTAGTGTCACCCTGTATATTTGAGCCGTACTATATTTTTCATGATGATAAAAACAATGATGATTCGTTTTTTTTTGTGAACGAAGGCGAAACATTTTGGGACAAAGGGTATTGAAGTATACCTGTAGTTCTTGAATAGATTATATAGACCACAATTTGATGTGTTTTTACTGTAGAATAGAATGGTGAATGTTGTTCCGCCACCAAAAATTGTAAAATGTTCTTTCACCAAATATTCAAATGATCGACTTTCGATTATTTTCTGGGAAAAAATTATGTGGCTTCTGTAAGCAAATATGAGAGCTCAAGTAAAGGTTGGACTCCATCAGTCTTGCGTTTTTAACTTCCAATTCTCATTTAAGATCAACATTGAAGAATATATCATAGGAAAGAAGCCACACGGAAAAAAAGGATTGGTTGCATCAACCAATTATTTATGCTTGAATATTTTTTGTTGGAATGAGCAATTTTTTATTGAATCAACCAGATACATGATTATTTTATGGAAGCAGCTTGTTCAAATCAAGAATGTATTCTAATTGAATCAACAGTAATATCAATTTCATCAACAAAATATATGGTTTTCTCAAGAACAAATTATTTCGATCCAAAATAATGTCGATGTTAATTCAACTATAAACATTTTGTTGATTTGATGGAATAATGATCATTTTGATAAGAATATATCTTTGGAACAACATATAAGTTTTCTTATTCCGATGTAGCAATAAAACTCGTTTCGAACGGACCATTTACTTGAATAGAGCAACGAAATATGTAATATATCAATGAATTATTTTGTTCATTCTACATCAAGTTAAATTTTCGCCTCTAGATGGCGCTCATTTCGCCTCGTCTATACATGCCTCGAATTCATTATATACGTGAGGCCGGATTCTTCGTCTTTGAAACATCAGCTGGATATATCGAACTTAGGATGATTAGCAATCCCAAATAGTTTTGCATCAGCTGAAGGAGATCTAAGCTAGAAGTCGAGTAGTTTCCTAGTTTAGTTTATCCTTTTGAAGTGAAATTTCAGGAAACTCCCCAATTAATACTGAATTTGATTCAACAAAACAATTTGTCGAATGAAAATACAATTTCTCTCGAATCAACGAAATATTTTATTGAATCAACAAAATATTTCATTGAGTTAACCAAATATTTCATTGAATTAACCAAATATTTCATTGAATCAACCAAATAATTCATTGAATCAATCGAATATTCATTTGAATCAACCATATATTTCATTGAATCAACTAAATATTTGATTGAATCAATATCTTGTTATCTTGAATCAAACAAAATGATTGTTTGAGCCTATTCAATATCTCTTCATGAACAATTCATGGATGTGCTTGATTGAATAAGATCCAGAGTTCATGCAAGACATATTCACTCAATTCAAACTTCAAATTCGCTCTGATACAAGATATAGATTTACTCATTTCAAGATTATATTTTATCGTGCATATATGACACTTTTATTTGCTTCATTCAATTAAATTTTGCTTGATTCAACAATTCCTTTTTTTCCGTGCAAATGAAATGAAAAAATGGTATTTTGAGAGAAATAAAAAAACACGTTTTTATAGAAAGACGAACTGAAAAAATATAGAAAATAAATGGGTCGAAAAATAATGTCACTTCCAGAGAGGTCGAAAGTAGATTTTTTTCTCCAAATATGTCGAATACTGCTTGCTGTCTAGTGAGCATATTCACTGTTCAAAACGGAATACAATGTGATAAAATAAGATAAAGTTCTTCCTCTCATTTTGAAGGTGACATTACATCCACGAATCTGAAGTTTTTCAAGATTTACCTGAGGAAAATCAAATCGTCAGTAGTGAGTACGCTTGGACGTAAGTCGTATAGAACTTCCAAGGCTGCCTTGATTCCGGAATTGACTGCTCCTGCCAGTTGGCCATACCATTCAGCAGAGGTTTCTGCGCCTGCCCAATAAATCCTGCACTCAGGAAGAGAGAAGCATCGGTTATGATGTGATGAAATATAAGTATCTACACCCTCTGATACAGGGTGGTCTAACAAAAACATTACACCCCGATTTTAGAGCGTTAAAATGAAAATCCGAAAGAACGCCCAGATCTGTCGATCTCTGATTCGTCTTGTCTACTTTCTTCATCCCCATAACTTCAACACTTGATTTTCCAGAACGGAAATAATCATAGAAATGTTAAGAAATCGTTTCATATACAGTCTGTCCAAGATAAGGTTGAACAGCATGGGGATATCGAAAACGGTAAGAGCTACTAAGTCGGTTAAATAGGGGAAAAAGTTGCGCATTTGGAGGTTCATGTCAAGAGCCTTCGAAAATTTTGAAAATTATTTTTAGTTTTTGAGTAATACCGAAAAAAGTGAATTTTTGGAATTTCTATTTTGATTTTTTCCTCCGTTATTATGAGAAATACAGAAAAGCTGAAAATACTTTTTCATAGCAACTTTTGATGACGTTTAACGTGGTGATACCGATTTTTTTAAGCGACGTTTCGTATTCGTGGGACCATCATCAACTTTTGCTTTTTAAATACGGTCCTGATAATTTTTTCACAGATTCTGAAAAGTTTTTTAATTCTGAATTCAACCATATATTATACAAAGTGGTTTATGTGTGGTTCGACCTATTTTCAGCCATCATCAATGTTTCATCGAAATTCCAAAGGAAAAGTGCCATCGCAATTCCACTTATTTTGAAGGAAAATTAGTCAACACACTAATACCTCATCAACTGGTTTCAATCAAAAACCCATTTCATTTTGCAGAAACAAAAATTCCGTCCATAAAAATTCAGAATATGTCGAGCGCTAAAACCAGGCGATGACGAAAGGCGCAGGACATTCTGTGAGTAGTATTCCAGGAAATGTCAAAATTTTGCAGATTTCCCTCGAACAATAATCTGGACTGATGAAAGCATTGTCACTAATCATGGTATCTTCGATAAAAAAAATACACATTATTGTACACGAGAAAATGAACATGTATACATTACAGCGAGACACCAACACCGTTTCGGCTTTAATATGTGGGTTGCAATATTTGGTACACGAATTATTGTTCCTTCTATTTACCATGAAACACAGACTTCCGAACGTTATAGGAATTCGCTTGAGAATCATCTTGAGGATCTCTGGATGATTTAACGATTGCGGAAGTTCAGAACTGTTGGTTTCAACACGATGGCGCTCCAGTACATAATTCCAGAGAAGTCCGTGCGTTTTTATCCCTTGGCCGGCGCGGTCGCCTGATTTGAAACAGCTGGATTTTTTCTTACGGGATATATCGAACTTTGTACACGCAAATAACTTTGATGATGAAGAAGAACTAAGAGACAGTGTCTTCGAAGCATTCAATAGAATAACCCCAGAAATGCTTAGCAATGTCTTAGAAGCAACTGTGAGAAGAGCATATCTTTGTTCAGAAAATAATGGTTATCATTTTGAACATTTGTTATGAATGTCTCTATAGGTATTGTCAAAGTAAAGTTGTTAAAGAAATTCGTGTAAGAATTCATCAACAATTTTAAATGCTGCATTGTTCGAATGATGTAAGTGAAATATTTTTTATTCACTTTTCAGTTTTGAATAACTAATTCATCAAGTTTGACACTAAATGATCAGAAATAAGTGGAACTGATGGCTTTTTTCCTTTGGAAGTTCGAAAAAACATTGATGATGGATAGAAATAGGTCGAAAAACATTCGAATCACCTTGTATAGTACATGGTTAAATTCAGAATAAAAAAACCTCTCAGAATCTGTGAAAACATTATCAGGGCCGTATTTAAAAAACAAAAGTTGATGATGGTTCCACAAATACGAAACGTCGCATAAAAAAATCGGTATCACCACGTTGAACGTCATCAAAAGTTGCTATAAAAAAGTATTTTCAGTTTTTCTGTATCTCTAATAATAACGGAGAAAAAAAATGAAATAGAAATTCCAAAAATTCACTTTTTTCGATATAACTCAAAAACTAAAAATAATTTTCAAAATTTTCGAAGGCTCTTGACATGAGCCTCCGAATGCGCAACTTTTTCCCCATTTAACCGACTTCGTAGCTCTTACCGTTTTCGAGATCCCCATGCTGTTCAACCTTATCTTGGACAGACTGTATACTCAGATGACGGTAATCGATGGAACCATCAAACTGGGACATAGCATAGTTCTATTCAAAATCCTGGAGGAAGTTACGGGGATAAAGGAAGAAGACAAGTTATTCCCTGTCGAATCAAAAATCGTTGGGTCCGAGCATTTTTCTGGAATTTAATTTCAATGCCCCAAAATCGGTTTGTAAAGTTTTCGTTGAACCAGTATTGAAATTTACCTATCGTTTATTCGTTTTTCATCATTCATAATGATCCCACTTTGACCACAAAACATTTGACAAGAATTCCCGTACCATGTTTTTTCATAATAATCCGTAGGATATGAAGCTTCTTCTCCAAGAAATTCACTCAGTTCCTCAAGAATGCGTTCTTTATAAATATCTGTCGCCTGCTAGAATAAATATTGTTGTGTTGTATCTTTCATCAATATCTCTATATCTATACAGGGTGATTCAGGTTTTGAGGCACAAACTGAAATGGGAGATAGATCTCATCATTTCAATCAAAAAAGTTTATATAAACATTAGTCCGATCTCGTTTAGTAGCGGAGCTACAGCGGCTCAAAGCTCAATTATTTTTTTCTATTAATTGAAATATCTCGCTTACTTTATTTTATTATTATATTAATATATTGAACTTCGATATTATATTTTGATTTTATGCGACCTTCCTAACGTACTGCGAACTGAAATATGAGTACGCTGGATTCCTTTTTCAACCAGCTGTCCAATGAGGGGTTGCAAGCCATAGGGTTGAATTTGAAATAAACATGTAGGGGTTGATGCCAGCTACCACTAAAGGGTTATATTCTCCATATTGCTAGCCAACGTTGCATAGCAATAAGTCTTTTCTGCCTAGGCAGAGAGAGTACATCTTTGCTACCAGTCAAGTGTCATAAAAAAGCCACTTTCTATGCCTTTCTGAGAATAGTATATTATGTAACAAGTGTTATAAACGTCCTTTTACTAACGAGTATTTTAAGCACGAGCGGAGCAGAGCGGAGCGAGTGTTTAATAAACGAGTGTCTAGAAGAGTTTATAAACGCGTTACATACTATGCTTTTGCTACGAATTCCGAAAATTACATTAACATACCTGCTATTCCTGCTAACCTACAAAATAATTCGAAAGGAATGGGAATTGAGAACACAATACATGCAACTACATGCAACTGCATGCAACCAGCGAGACACGTATAATAAGTGATACATATTGGTTGTAGATGTGTCCAGTCCATTGTTTACTAACCTTTGTTTCACGTTTATTGTCATGCTTAGCGCAGAATAAATAAATTGTTCTCAAAGATGGATGCTTCATTTTTACACTTCTTGGGGATATACCAGAACATTCTCTTCGATTTTACTTTCGTCTACATTTCGCATATATTTTTAATGAAGAATTCTGATACAAACGAATATTGTTTGAATAATTCTGATACAAAATATGAAAATAACAGTTGACAGTTAATACAATTGACAGGCCAGACATGTCTCAAATTACTTAAGCTGTGTTCAATGAACTGTCTTGCCATGGTGAATGTGTTTAAGAAATCGTGTTGCCATGGTATACAGAGATTCATCAAGTCAAGTAGCTTGATATTTTAGCAAACTACTCGACTTGACTTGAAAATCAAGCTCGTGGCAAATTACATAATTACTTGACTCGACTTGAATTTGAGATATTTATTACTTGACTTGAAATCAAGCTACTTGATAATACTTGATCTTGATACGCACGAGTCGCACGGCGCACGGCGTATATTTCTGCAAGCTCGCTCACGCTTAGACAAAATACGCGGGGGTTCCCCGAGATCCGAGCTGACTGAATCGATCGCGCAGTCAGTCTTACGATGCCATTTTCATTTCATCAGTTATATACAGGGTGACTCACGGTCGATGGTAGGTTAGACGTTCACGTTTATGATAGGAACGCAACGCAGGATTTTTCTGAAAATTTCGCATCTCACATTTCATCACCGGTACTATCGATCTAATATATTTTCAAAATCACGACGTTGCCGCTTCTATAGAAAAGTAGGAACCACTTGTTGTTTCGAATTGAACACCCTGTATTTCATTGCATTTTCAGATTCTTCTTGAAGAGTTGATTTCATCGATACATCACACTCGGGGTAAAGCGGAAAAGATTATGAAAATATAGAGTGCGAAAAATCGAGATTTTTCAACTTCAGGAATTTTTTGTGTATGCGAAATTTTCAGAAAAATCCCGCGTCGCGTTCTCCATAAACGTCTAACCTATAACATTGACCGTGAGTCACGCTGTATAGATACACAATAAAACTGCTGAAAATCAAGTAGCTTGATAGAACTACTTGATTTTTCAAGTACTTGATAAATAATTACTTGACTTGACATTGAAAAACTTTCGCTTGACTTGAAATTGACTTGATTTCAAGTCAAGTCAAGTCAAGTAGCTTGAATATCAAGTCAAGCCGTGAATCTCTGCATGGTAACGTGTTTAATATTCTGATAAATCACAGATCGATAATTCGTGATTAATCGATCATTTAGCGTGGTACATTTCCGTACGATAAATGCCATTTTAGTTATGTGAGTAGAAAAAAAATATTTATTGATCCGTTTTATTTTACTCCAGGAGTGTAAATTGAAAATGTTGTTATATCTCACTTTATTTTGCGGGATTGCACCTGATGTGAAAATTCTTCCATACAAAACAGGCATGTTTAAATTCGATATATTCCAACAAAAATCAATCAGCCCCTTTCTATGAAATCTATCGAATATGTAAATATCTCCGGAAAGTTGCTTCTCCTGCCAGAATTCCTGTGAATTTCTATTATCATTTTAAGGATACCACGCTACAATATTTGGTAATTATACTTTTTGATAAGTTACCAAAAATGTGGTGACAGGATGTGAAGACATGCCAGTCAATGATTGATGAGTTTCCTTGGACAAATCTGGGCTGAATTTTATTTTCAAAATATCTTCAGGAGATACTGCAACTATCACATTGAAACAACTAAAACAAATGAATATTATTGATGGGCAAAATTTGAAAAGCCAAGTTGAAAGTTAATTTGCTAAGCTTTAATAAATATATATATATATATATATATATATATATATATACAGTCTGTCCAAGATAAGGTTGAACAGCATGGGGATCTCGGAAACGGTAGGAGATACGAAGTCGCTTAAATGGGGAAAAAGTTGCGCATTCGGAGGCTCATATCAAGAGCCTTCGAAAGTTTTGAAAATTATTTTTAGTTCTTGAGTTATATCGAAAAAAGTGAATTTTTGGAATTTCTATTTTATATTTTTTCTCCGTTATTATCAGAGATACAGAAAAACTGAAAATACTTTTTCATTGCAACTTTTGATGAGGTTCAACGTGGTGATACCGATTTTTTTATGCAACGTTTCGTATTCGTGGAACCATCATCAACTTTTGTTTTTTAAATACGGTCCTGATAATTTTTCCACAGATTCTGAAAGGTTTTTTTATTCTGAATTCAACAATGTACTGAACAAGGGGATTTGAATGTGTTTCGACCTATTTCTATCCATCATCAATGTTTTTTCGAACTTCCAAAAGAAAAAAAGCCATCAGTTCCACTTATTTCTTATCATCTAGTGTCAAACTTGATGGATTAGTTATTCAATACTGAAAAGTGAATAAAAAATATTTCACTACATCATTCGATCAATGCAGCGTTCAAAATTGTTGATGAATTCTTACACGAATTACTTTAACAACTTAACTTTGACAATACCTACAGAGACATTCATAACAAATGTTCAAAATGATAACCATTATTTTCTGAACAAAGATATCCTCTTCTCACAGTTGTTTCTAAGACATTGCTAAGCATTTCTGGGGTTATTCTATTGAATGCTTCGAAGACACTGTCCCTTAGTTCTTCTTCATCCTCAAAGTTATTTGCGTGTACAAAGTTCGATATATCCCCTAAGAAAAAATCCAGCTGTGTTAAATCAGGCGACCGCGCCGGCCAAGGGATAAAAACGCACGGACTTCTCTGGAATTATGTACCGGAGCGCCATCTTGTTGAAACCAACAGAGTTCTGAACTTCCGCAATCGGTAAATCATCCAGAGCTTCCTCAAGATGATTCTCAAGCGAATTTCTATAACGTTCGGAAGTCTGTGTTTCATGGTAAATAGAAGGAACAATAATTCGTGTACCAAATATTGCAACCCACATATTAAAGCCGAAACGGTGTTGGTGTCTCGCTGTAATGTATAAATGTTCATTTTCTCGTGAACAATAATGTGTATTTTTTCTATCGAAGATATCATGATTAGTGACCATGCTTTCATCAGTCCAGATGATTGTTCGCAGGAAAGATGCAAAATTTTGACATTTCCTGGTATACCACTCACAGAATGTCTTGCGCCTTTCGTCATCGCCTGGTTTTAGCGCTTGACATATTCTGAATTTGCATGGATGGAATTTTTGTTTCCGCAAAATGAAATGGGTTGTTGATTGAAACCAGTTGATGAGGTATATTGAAGTTAGGGAATTTGTCTTGATAAAAACACAGTGGCTGCTTAGTAATTGCAAGGAATAATCACTTTATTATTCATTTGTGAAACGACGCCATCAAAAAACTTGTCTACATTCATTTATTTTAACCTAACTGTCTAACTATTGACATATGACATTTTCATGTTTCAACACCAAGGTTTGTATATCTCACAGAACATTAACATTAGACAAAGTATCAACTCATCATGGAACGGCGAAACACTGAGATAAAGTCACAATATTCCACAATTCCTAACACTCCCCCTCAAATAAAAAGTACTATACATACTTTCAACAATTTCAAAATATATAGTACATTTTATTTGCTAAATAAAGTTGTTAATCTGTGATAAAGATACCTATCTAACAAAATAATTTTTTTTTAATCTCAACTCCTACTATTACCTATTGATTATTCAACAATATACTATTCCTAAATTTAACAAATTTATCTTTTGGCAAAGATTTAGTAAACATATCTGCACAATTTTCAGAAGAGCAAATGTATTGAATCATAAATACCTTCTTCAAGCACAGATCTTTGATGTAGTGATATTTAATTTCTATATGTTTGCATCTCTTTGAATTTTGAAAATTTTTAATGGTGGCAATAGCACTCAAATTATCAATTCTTAACAATATTTGTTGGTTTTCACCAAACTCGCCTAGAAGTCCCTTGAGATTGACAAGCTCTTGTGCTGCTTGTGCTGCTGCAATATATTCAGCTTCCATTGAGCTGAGGGCAACACAGGTTTGCTTTCGTGAAAACCAGGCAATCGGATTGTTGTTATGAAAAGCTATGAATCCACTCACGCTTTTTCTGGTCTGTTTATCCCCAGCCCAGTCAGCATCACACATAGCAATGAGTCCAGTGTCTCCTTGATTAAAAATCAGGACATAGTCTTTAGTCATATTGAGATAACGCAATATTCTTTTTGCTGCATTCCAAGTGCTTGCAGTAGGTTTGTCTAGATATCTACTCAAAACTGTCACACTTTGAGCAATATCAGGTCTTGTCATAATGGATATGTACATCAAGGTACAAACTAATCTTCGGTAAGGAATATTCAACAAAATTTCTTCATCTTCCTGAACGCTGAAACCAACTTCCATGGGTGTGGTGATTGATTTTGTGTTCTCCATATTGAATTCTTTTAACAATTTGTCAATCATTCGCATTTGGTGTACCTTTAAAGCTTCATTTGTGTTTTCAATTTCCATTCCAAGGAAAGACTTCACCTTTTGTATACTTTTTACTTTGAATTCATTGTAGAGACTATTAATCAATGAATCCACCTGATCTTCGGTACCCATCATCCACGTACAACACCAGATAGACATTTTCTTTGAAATATAGACAGTAGTCATAGTCAGATCGTCTGAAGTTCAATTTGTACATTATTTCATTGAACTTCATGTTCCAGCATTTCGGTGAATTTCTCAGTCCATACAAGGCTCTATTTAATTTAAAATAAATATTTTTACTATCCAGGCCTTCCGGCTTCTTGATATATACTTCAGTATCTAATGTGCCATTAAGGAAGGCTGTAGGTACATCAATTTGTTTGATTGTCCAATTTTTCTGTACTGTGATAGACAACAGAAGTCTTATTGTTGTTATTCTGCATACTGGTGCATAGTCAAATTCCTCTCCATCATAGGGTACTTGGAAACCCTTTGCTACTAGTCTGGCCTTTCTAGTCCCATCTTCTTTGGTTTTGAAAATCCACCTTGTCTCTATAGCTTTTGTATTCATGGGTAAGTCTGTAGGAATCCACGTTTGGAGGTTTTCATGTGATTTCAGCTCTTTATTTATTGCTTCCCTCCAATCTTCATTCTCAAAAGCTTCTTTAAATGTTTGTGGTTCTTCTTTGGTTGAGGATAGAAAACAAAAAGCAACATACATTTCATAATCGTTGAAATTTGTTGGTTTGTTTACTGTTCTTCCTGATCTGGTTGTCACTGCTTCCATTGGGTCTACAGGACCTTCTAATTCATTCTGTATATTTGGTTCTTCTGTATCATTTCGATCCATAGTCACTGTTTGATCTTCAATTTCTTCTGAAAACGTTTCAGTTCCGATTTTTTGTGGTTCCATGATCACGTTTTTTTGTTTTGGTACTTTAAATTCCATTATTGATTCATCAAATCGAACATCTCTGGACCTGACAACTTTTTGTTCTTTTGGTGACCATAGCCTCCATCCACCTCCTGTATATCCTACCATGACGGATTTTTCTGCTTTGGGATCTAATTTGTTACCACCTTTTGGTAGGATGGTATACCATGCTCGGCATCCAAAAATTCTTAGTTTGCTTAAATCATTTCTGCCATGCCTTAGTGAGGAAGGGGTTTCTCCTTTTGGTAGAGCTGAGGTGGGTGTACGGTTCAATTCATAAACTGAACATTTTAGAGCTTCACCCCACAATTCTTTAGGTATCCCAGAGTCTATAATTTTTGTCCTTACTTTGTTCAACAAGGTTCGGTTTAACCTCTCTGCCTTGCCATTATATTGTGGAGTATGTGGCAATGTGTATTCCAATAATATACCTTTCTGTTTGCAGAAGTTTTTGAACATTTGTGAAACAAATTCTCCTCCATTGTCCAATCTGAAAGCCTTCACTTTAACTTCATATTGTCTTTCTACTTCCATCACATATTCTTTCAAATTTTCACCTGCTTCACCTTTGGTCTTCAGTAACTTTATCACAGTAAAATGTGAATAATCATCCAATATGGTTTGGAAATATCTTTCACCATTTAATGTGCATGGATTTATTGGGCCACACACATCACTATGTACTAGTTCTCCAATGGCTTTTGTTTCTCTCTCCGACTTATGGAATGGTAATCTAGTTCCTTTTCCTTCTGCACATGTTGAGCACACACCATTGGGTATTTCTAAATTTAACTGCATCAGGGAATCTGTACCAACATGGCCAAGTCTTCTATGCCATAAATTTTTATCTAGTGCCAAATTGCAACTTTCTCTCTTTTCTTCATTCATAATACTATCCACCACCAGCATGTAAAGCCCATTTCTATTTTCACTTATCAAGGGGATATTTTTCACATTTATAAGCATTTTCTCTTTTTCTATAATAATTCTATGACCTCTTGAAGTTAACTTGGAAACTGATAATAAATTATGCTTCATTTTTGGTACAATCAATGCTTCAATGTTGAGAATTTGTCCTTGAATTCTTGTTTTCAAAATACCTTTTTTCTTGGCTACTAATTGTTCACCATTAGCAATATGAATGATTACAGAGTGTTCTAAGCTTATAATATCTGTCATGTATTTCTCTAGATCTTCTTTAACAAAATGATTGCTTGCCCCTGAATCAATCACAAATGAAATTTTTCCATCTTCTCTCTCAGTACACAAATTCGCTGCATATAATTGTATCTCTTCCTCTTGTTGTTCAACATTATGAGCTTGTTGATTCTGATTTAGTTGTTGTTGAGGGTTGCCTCTGAAATACTGCCTACCTCTTGCTCGGCCTCTTGTATTTGCTCTCCTATACCCAGTTCTACCTCTACTACTACCACCTCTAAGTAGTGGACAGTTTGCCTGCCAATGGTGGGGGCTATTGCACTTGAAACACCCAGTGGATGCTTTGAAGCTTGTTTCCGTTTCATGTTTAGCTTTCAGCTTCAATTATTCTTCATCTAGTAATCGTGCTTTGGCAAAATCCAATTTGACTTGATCAATTGTTTCTAGTGCTGTGACAACATTATCATATTTACTTGGTAAAGACAGTAATAGGTGACAGACTTTATCACTATCATTCAGTTCTGTCCCATGCTCTTTTAACTCTCTTATAATTGTGTCGAATTTTAAATATAAATCTTCTAATTTCTCTGTATCCTCTTCTTTCAAGGTCAATAGTTTTCGCCAGCATGCCAGTTTTGTGAAAGAACTTGATCTAATGAACACTGCCCTCAGTGCCTCAATTTGTTTCTTCGCAGAAGGACTGTCTTTGATTATATCTAGGTGTTTATCAGATATTCCTGCCACTACTATAGCCTGAGCTTTTGCGTCTGCCTTTTTCCAGGTATCTCTTTCTGTTACTGGAGCACTTGCACTTGGTTCTTCTTCATCTAGTGCTGCCATACAACCTTCTTTCTTGAACAGTGTTGTAATCCTGAATAACCAATTATTGAAATTATTGGCTTCTAAAACCGGAACAGTAAAGCTATTCATCTCGCTCTGTCGTTCGTAGCCTCATGCAAATGTGCACCTATTCTTAGGTTTCTTTAGGGATTGTAAAACTGTTTGCAATTTTTATTTTCCCTTCAATATCAAACTGGGCCCATAACCTATTGAAGTTAGGGAATTTGTCTTGATAAAAACACAGTGGCTGCTTAGTAATTGCAAGGAATAATCACTTTATTATTCATTTGTGAAACGACGCCATCAAAAAACTTGTCTACATTCATTTATTTTAACCTAACTGTCTAACTATTGACATATGACATTTTCATGTTTCAACACCAAGGTTTGTATATCTCACAGAACATTAACATTAGACAAAGTATCAACTCATCATGGAACGGCGAAACACTGAGATAAAGTCACAATATTCCACAATTCCTAACAAGGTATTAGTGTGTTGACTAATTTTCCTTCAAAATAAGTGGAACTGATGGCATTTTTCCTTTGGAGTTTCGAAAAAACATTGATGATGGCCAAAAATAGGTCGAAACACAAATGAACCACCTTGTATAATACATGGTTGAATTTGGAATGAAAAAACCTTTCAGAATCTGTGAAAAAATTATCAGAACCGTATTTAAAAAACAAAAGTTGATGATGGTTCCACGAATACGAAACGTCGCATGAAAAAATCGGTATCACCACGTTGACCGTCATCAAAAGTTGCTATGAAAAAGTATTCTCAGTTTTGCTGTATCTTTAATAATAACGGAGAAAAAAAATAAAATAGAAATTCCAAAAATTCACTTTTTTCGATATAACTCAAAAACTAAAAATAATTTTCAAAATTTTCGAAGGCTCTTGATATGAGCCTCCGAATGCGCAACTTTTTCCCCATTTGACCGATTTCGTATCTCTTACCGTTTTCGAGATCCCCATGCTGTTCAACCTTATCTTGGACAGACTGTATATAATATAATATAAATAAATAAAGGATAATGAGTTCCATAAATTCTCTTACCAATAAGAGTATTCGTCCGTTATAACTTCCACATACTTTTCTTTGCATGAAATTTCCAAAACGCGTTGCTCTTTCAAAATGTATTCACGACCTATTTCATCGGCAAGTATATCGCAAATATCTTTGGAGCTGTTCTGAAAATCTTTCATGATCAAAAATTACTATCGTTCAATTCCATTGTGTCCCAGCTAAACTATACTATCCCTTCAATAACTTGAAAGCCAAAAATAAAAACGGCCAAATATCTGGTCTTATTCAAAGACGTTTCAAATGAAGTATTGCCCCACCCTTTGATTCCATTTGGAAAACTCTTGCAAAATATCATTCAATTTTTTTTCTTCGCTTTCGAAGATGAAGGGAGTGTGATTATAACATGGGACACAAACGGTACTGCATATACATATATACCTTCATCTTAAACTCGTATAGATTTTTTGTTTCATTCAGCAGCTGATTTATTATTCCCTTGGTGGAAATGCAAAAAAATATGTAGAAAAGTGCAGAAACCTGTGAAGTATCAACACCTGAAATATGAATTTTTCTTGGTGTTCAATTGGGTCACCCTGTACTTTTTCTATAATGATGAGAAGTTCTTTGGTCCGATATTCCCAATGTCGAATGGACAGTTATTTTTGTATCTAGTGCGCAAAATGCTACTTTGGTGATCGAGAATTGTTTTTTTAACGAGGCGCAGTCGAGTTAAAAAAAGTTGCAAACATCATTTTTTCTACAAACGGAAAAAAATACAGGGTGTTTCATTACTAATTGGAAATATTTCAACCATAAAATCCCGCACTCAAAATATGAAGATTTGACCCGAATCACCTAATTAAAATATGTCTCCTGTCTGAGTTACAGGCTGTTTTATTCGAAAGTTTTGAAATGTTTTTTGCCCAGTTCTTCAAAACTATTTGACGTATCACTTTCATATTTGGAGGGAAGTGTGGTTGTTATACACCCAGCTGAATTATGTGAAATGAACTTTTCTAGCTATTACCAGAAGCGTACGACAGGGGCAATTAATAGGTTGATCCTTCCCAAATTCTACGCCACTGGCGGAATTGCAATTCTATCACTGATTTTTGATTCTCCAACAATTTTGACGTAGATATTGTACTTCTTCTTGATGGCGATAAAGTCATTATTTTTCGAGATATTTCAAGTTGAACATAAATCTGCACAATCATTTTGATTTCAATGTGCATTAATTTTGTCAATATTTTGGATGAATGGGTTGTATTCATCAACAAAATGAAACTTCAATCCATATTAACAATAAAAACATAATTACATAACAGACAGGAGCTGTTACAGGGTGTTCAATTATGAAATATATCAAAAAATTTAAAACGCCCTGTAACAGCTCCCGTCTGTTATATTTTTATGTTAATATGGATTGAGGTTTCATTTCATTGATGAATACAACCCATTGATCCCAAAAATCCACATTATTGATACACATTAAAATCAAAATAATTGTGCTGCTTCACGTTTAACTTGAAATATCTCGAAAAATAATGACTTTATCGCTATGAAGAAAGAGTACAATATTTACGAAGAAGGCATTGAAGAATCGAAAAATTCTGATAAAATCGCAATTCCGCCAGTGGCGTAGAATTTGGGAAGGATCAACCAGTCACTTGCCCCTGTCGTACGCCTCTGGTAATAGCTCGAAAAGTTCATTTCACATAATTCAGTTGGATGTATAATAGCTACACTTCCCTCCAGTGATGCGTCAAATAGTTTTGAAGAACTGGGCCAAAAACATTTCAAAATTTTTGGATAAAACACCCTGTAACTCAGACAGGAGACATATATTATATAGGTGATTTGGGTAAAATCTGCATATTTTGAGTTCGGGATTCTATGGTTGAAATATTTCCAATTATATAGTAATGAAACACGCTGTATAGTTCTATATATAAGTAATATGCTCAGCTCAATAATTAATATAAAAAATAGTGTTGAACTGGCTTAAAAGCGAGCTTAAAACGCTTCAATTATTGTTGAACATCCAGAAATAGTTATCAAAACTAACCAAGATAATCATTTTTACGTAAAAATTATGGTATTTGTACATTTTTAACAAGGAAACATCATCTCGGCTCCTTTTTCAGGCGGATATAACCCCCAGGGGGACATTTCTGTTTATATGAACTTTTTGACTATTTTTGTTCCTATTGAATCTGTGGTAAAAAATCTTTCTATGTAATTTTGGAACACCTCGTATATGGAAATTTTTTAAATGATTGATCAATTTCACCTGAGTTTCAATTTTCCAAAATCTGCAAAATTTAACAAACGGTGCCTATATTTGTGAAATTTTAAGTCGAATTGAAGTCGAGCAAAAAAATTTTTAAAAAAATCTTGCGATGGCCGGGAATCGAACCCGGATCAACTGCTTGGAAGGCAACTATGCTGACCATTACACCACCATCGCACTTGATATATTTCAATCTGACAAGGCATCATGAGCTATTTTGTTATTTTGGTTGAAACTCTATTGTTCCTGATGAAATTCATCATTAATATTGGAGAAAAGAATATGAATCCCCCTAAATGGAATTAATGCTTTTTTGACACATTTTATACGGTTTTAAGTATTTAAGTATTATGAATTTGGAAGTGACTATTTGCATGTTAGTAGGAAAATAAGCAAAAGTCCTACCCACTGAATCATAGTAAACACTGGAATGCTTGTGTTACTTGCTCTAGTCGTCAATATTTCATATACAGGGTGTCCCAGAAAAGTCTGTACAAACTCTGGGCACATATTCCTGAGGTTAAAAGGAGACGATTGGAAGCAACTTACCTGACATGGTTTAGAATGGCCATAACTTCTTTCTCAGTGTAGTTTCATACTTTATTCGTCGAGGAAATAATTTTTCTGAACATTTTCAAGCAAGAAAAAGACTCATGTGATAATCTGATGAAGTAAGCAGATTTCGAGATATTTATTGGTTTTTAATGTTCGATGCAGCACCGGAATATTTAAATAATTTTGAAAAAAAATGTTCGCTGTTATCTTCTTGGATGTAATTTGGCCAGTGAATTAGCACTGCAGAAGTGGATTTTTCTAAATACTCCTACTGGAGAGTGTACTATACTCATTATCGACAGTGCCGTGTGCGTTTTTATTGGCATGATTAAAAAGGGTCGTTTCTTTATGAAATCATATCAGGCATTTTTTCTCATGATCTCGTTTGTCCGTATGCAAAAATTCGACTCATTCCAAATTAACAGGATTGGCTTTATTTTTTTTTCATTTTTTGCCTCGAAAAAATAATGAATTCAAATTAATCCAAATGTCCGAGTAATTCATATATCTCATATATTCAGAATCGATAAACATCTTCAAAAATAAAAACTTGAACAACAGTCAGAGAGAAGAAGAGAGTGCTATCGAGGTAGGAATATTGCTGTGAATCGTATTGAATAGAATCGTTGATTGACATATTATTATATACGCTTACGCTGGGTAAGCGTGTAATATATATCAATCAACGGTAGAATCCAGAGAGTTGCGTCTACTCACCACAGTATAGAAAAATCATAAAATCTATTATGAGGAGTAAACCTTCACTATTTATAGATCGTTGAATAAAAGTTTTGAGTCGCGTTTTTTCCAGCTCATTGAACCAATTCGGTTCGTTTTTTTGACGGATATTCCGACATATAATTTCCACCTGAAATAATGAAATAATTACCTGCGTTACCTAACAAATCTCGGCGCATATCCTCACTTTTAAGATGAACTTGGTCAATTGCACCTTTTCAGAAAATGTTAAAAAGTTCATAATGTCACATTTACTATCTAGTAAATGGATATTATCATCATATTCAACGATTATTTTCCCTGGATTGGTTCGTGAGTTGACAATAGAAATACCCAGCTTCTCGAGAAAACTCAAAAAAATATTCTGTTCCCTTGAAAGCCAGGATCCTCCAATATTGAAACACATCAAGGATTTTCCATCCCTGACTGATAAAGGGACCTGAAATAGTCTTCCGCCCATTCTTTCTGAAAAAAAAAGGAAAAAGGGGAAGTCAATCAAAATTGAAATCCAAAATATACCTAACGTGCAAAACTTTAAAAGTTTTAGATTTTAGGAAAATCAGCGGAACGCACTATTTTCACAGGTATAGATTGCAGAATGCATAGGAACTCATAAGTAGAAACTTACTAGAAGATTCAAGAACCATAACTCTCAAGCATTGTTCTTTCTCAAGCAGCTGGTAAGCCGCTGTTAAGCCCGATAAACCAGCTCCAATGACAATTACGTCGGCATCAATAATTTTGAACATTCATTTTTATTAAACTCATTTGGTTGAAGAAAAATACATTGGTAGATTGATAAAAGTTTCCGCCAAATTTTTGAAAATGAAACATAAACGTTAATTTGTCACAAAACTGACAATTAGAAGTAGCATCTCATGAATTATTGAAATATTGTTGGTAGCAGGTTGGTAGTAGGTAGTGACAGTTGGTAGTAATTGAGGTTGTCAGTTCGATGGTTTCTTTGATCCATGCGAATGACAAATTGTTGGAATGAAAAATTCACTCTAGTCTCTATTTCATTGACAGGGATTTGCAGTAAAAGCTACTACTAGAAGACTACTAGCCACATCGCGTTTTACGAACAGTCATATTTTGGTTTTCCGTGGCGTCCAATGTCAAAACTGACGTAACGTCAGTAACGTCACGTCATAACCGTCAGTGTCAATTACATACTGTCTTGTGTCATATTAAGTTTATCTAGTAAATATGGCCGTGTAGTTTTGTGTTGCTGTAATAAAGGGGAGGCAGATTTTAGATTCTATTAGCTGAATTTGTATTAAAAAAGTGACATGTAAATATTTGTGTTGTAGATCTAATTGTAAATACTGATTTGTAACGATACTGTGATATTTGTAATGGCTGATGAAAGTTCAGAGCAGGAACTTCGAAAAAATCTCCACATAATTCAATCTATGATTGATGTATCTGCTGAACGTTTGGAAGGGCTAAGAACACAATGTGCTACAAGCGCAGAGTTAACCCAGCAAGAAATACGAACATTGGAAGTATGTATTTGTGTAAAAATAAATATTTCCAAGAGTACCCCCTCAACAACTTGCTGCAACTGCCATGTTTAATTTTCAGGGAAAACTCATAAAAATGTTCGCCAATCAACTAGTAACAAAATTCAAGTTGAAAAACGGTTGTGATGAACACATTCCCTCTTTGAAACAGTGGTTGCATGTAGTAGGACTGGCAAAAAATAGTATAACAGGCCTATGTCAACTGATATCATCTGTAGAAGAACTACAAGAAAAGTCAGAACATGAGCTGAGGTCAATCTTGAATGAAAAGGGGGCAAGATCTGAAGAGCTCAACAGACTGTTTCGAGCTTTGCACAATTTGAAAAGATATACAGGTAAAGTGTGAAAATTGTTGTAATGTTGATGTCTCAAATGTTTTTGGCCTTTGCTAGCTTGTATGTGTCAACCTGGAATTGTCCATTGATTTGGATATGAGAAATGATGTGTCCTCTTTGTATTTCAACTGGTCTCATGTGGAAATGATCATTGAAGGTTAAAGAACTATCTATTTCCTATTAATCTGAATATCTGATACAGAAATTGAAAAGTGTCTAGACAAGTAGGAATCTGTTTCTGATTATTATTTTTATCAGATAATAGATAGATATTCTTTATCATTTTATGTTGCCATTTGAATCATCAGGTAATGTCTATAATAAACAAGGTAGTTCTGAAAATATCAGGAATAGATTACCTGGAAATCCCAGAAGTCCTAAGGACATTTGAGCTTGAGGGTCTGCTATGAGCAAGGATCCCTTAAGGAAGCTTAATATGGAGTTCAATCAGCATATATGTGACCATTCACCCATTAGGTTGTACTAGTTCAAAAAATACTTGAATGGTTAGAAAAATATTATCATTGACAAAATAATTGTAGAATGAATGTTGAGTATTGAAAATCTTATCATTAGATAGTAATTACTGCTCAGTCAAAGGAGTTCACTTATATTGAAGAAACTGTGATTGAAGTGTCCTACATTACAGTTTTCTTCATTTGGAATGCTTCTTATTGCTACAACCCTGCAGCTTATCATTAGATAGTAATTACTGCTCAGCAGTCAAATGAGTTCACTTATATTGAAGAAACTTTGATTGAAGTGTCCTACATTACAGTTTTCTTGTTTATTTGGAATGCTTCTTATTGCTACAACCCTGTAGCAGTGAAACCTGGGTACTGGTTAGGTTAAGTTAGGTAATGAATATAAAAAGTAAAATATGTAGATATTTCCAATAGACACTCGAATAGACATAAGAAATAACACAAATGGTGACTATCAATATTTTGCTGATGCTTGCAGGAGGGGGTAATTACCTGTTTACCCCTCCATGGATCCATCACTGCAATCCTCTTCCAAGAAGCTCATGTCCAAACCTACCTCAATTTTTTTACATCACAATTTGTAATTACTGTATTTGGATTCACCACATTTAAGTTGGGAAGGTTTAGACATTTTATTCTATTTGTTGGCAGAAGTCACTGTGAAATTCAGTGTAATTTTTCAACAATGTCCATATAATTATTCACAAATTCACAAAAGAATACAGTGGTTATCATTTATACCATTCACTAACATCTAAATTATAAACAAGATTTTTGTAGATGAATGGACAGCTATATGAGATTTAAATGATTCACTGGAGTAGACTCACTCTAGGCATTGTAGCCTGTTTGGTGATGGTCTAAATCATTGGTTTGAAGTTTGAAAAATGAAGGGTCCAAGAATTTTTCCTTGCTCATACTTCCAGTAATTAACAATTCAACATTTTTTATGATAAACCATTTTTCAGATTGTTTTGATTTGAGAAATAAGAAAATCATTGTTAAAATATCTAACAGAAAACAACTACTTTTCTGGCCAATACCATTGACACACTCTTGCTGCTTGTCAGACTGACGCTGCTGTCCAGTCATCCATATTCTGGAGATTCACGATGTGGGCGACATCTAGGTTACATAATACGAACTTCAAACTGGGGGAAAACAAACTGTTGTCTATGGATAAAGTATATAGACTACATTACATTCAGCTTGCTGTAGCTGGAGTCAAACTTGTCAATGACATAAAGTGTTGGCACTGTTGGTAGTGATTATGGTTGAGTTGGTCAATTTTTTTACATTATTACATTTTTATTAGTTTAGTGAACAGTGAAAGGGTGAAGAATTGGAGATAGTTCAAACAATTCAAACTAATTATGACGAGCAAATCAATTGACATATAAAAGGACAGCTACAACATGTTTACAATACCCAGATTGTCCTGCTTTGCAGGAACAAATACAAATCCATTGGTCTACAGGAGTCCCTCTGGACCCCAACTTCAATTTTACTTCATGTGGGGAAGATTTCATCGCCGAAGTTTGTAGACAAATTGCAAAAATGTGCCTTTTGTTGAAGTCTTCTGCCTCACACAAAATCACATGATTAGCTCGGAGAACTGCTTCTCCTTCCACTACTGGTCGGCTTCTTCCATCTAAATGGAGCAAAATATCTGCCAAAACAACATCTACAACAGGCGTTTTCTCGAATATTGACAATTAATGTCAAGAAATTTAAAAACTTATCACTCTTATCTGTACACAGTACACAAGCTAATGGCATTAATGGGATTGAGTGATGATTGAGTTTGTTTTACCGTAGTTTTGACGTGGCTTTGACATGGAACGATGAAAACCGAGCGCCACCTGGTAACATTGATTCTCGCTAATATACTTCTGTACTCTTCTTCTGTTCTGGAAGCTTCTTAGAACAATATCTCTCCTTCTCTCTATAATTGTTCCATGGATTGTTTGGAGATGATTCCAGATTATGTGTTGACATCGTTGATCTTTTTCTCGACGGTATACGGTCCTTCCCAAGATCTCTGTAGTTTGGGACTATTACCTCGTTTCCTTTGTGAATTGTACAACCACACCATGTTTCCTTCTGCATATTATCCTGCACCACCAGCTCTGATGTCGTATCGGTCTTTCATGCGATCGCAGGCGATTTTCAGATTAGAACGAACTAATTCGTGAATATCATTCATTTTCTTCATCAGATTCGTAACGTAATCTTCCCCCACTATGTCCTCACCAGGTCTACATCCGAAGACCGAGACACATAGAAGCTTCATCTCTCGTCCAATTCGCCGGAGTCTGTCCTGTAGATTTCTGTACTGCAGATCTGTAGGCCATCAAGAAGAAAGGGAGATGTTGTTCCCAATCTTGTTGGCGTTGATCCACAACTTTGCAGAGATATCTCCCTATGGTTCGGTTCATTCGCTCCACCATTCTATCTGACTGCGGATGCAATGCAGTTGTCCTTGTCTTCTTGATTCCTAACTTCTCGCTGATCTTCTTGAACACTTCACTCTCGAAGTTCAAAGTGAAGTTTCAATGGCACCCCAAAACGACTGATTAGAACATCGACGACCGTTATTGCCTCATATGGCATATGCTTCCACCCACTGGCCCAGCAATATCCATGGCAATCCTCTCAAAAGGACATGCAACATTGTAATGTCTCATGGGGGCCCTTGGTTTACGATGAGGTCCATTGCAAAGGCATACGGTGCAGTTACGGCACCACTCCCTGACGTCGTCACTGCAGTTCACCCAGTAGAACCGCTCTCGTACCCGCCGCAGTGTCTTCTTCAGCATGTCGTCTTCTAATATCGAGGAGTCCCACTGACCCCAGTATACCCTCAAAGTATGTGAAGATGGTGCTACTTCTTGTCAAGAAGGGCGGCGATTCGCTTTCTTCCATTCCCGAAGCTTCCGAAGTTCTGGGTCCTTTTCTTGCTCTTGCTTGCCGCAGGTAACCAATCTTCATTGACAATGCTGGTTCTGCAGAGGGCTGCTTCCTTATCCTCCAAACTACTACAATGTGACCAGTCAGGTGGGCCTGGCCTTCTGGACAATGCATCTCCATTCTTATGGCTTGTTTCCACTCGGTGTGCTATATCGAAGTCATATTCCTGGATCTCTCGATCCAACGAGCTAGTTGGCCTTCGGTGTTCTTGAAATTCAGGAGCCACTTCAATGCAGCGTGGTCCGTCCTGAGTAGAAATTTCCGTCCATATAGGTGCTTATAGAAGTGCTCCACTGATTTTACCATAGCCAATAGTTTCCTCCTGGTAACAGTAGTTTCGTTCTGCCTTCGATAGCACCTTGCTGAAGTAACCGATGACTCGCTCTTGCCCATCATGATACTGCGAAAGGACTCCACCAATGCCGATATTGCTGGCATCTGTGTCATGAATAAATTGTACTTGTGGAAGCGGATAGCTAAGAATCGGTGTCGTGGTCAAGCGTTCCTTGAGAGCATCAAAGGCGGCCTGGCATTCTGGATCCCAGTGGGGGCTTGCTTCCTTGGTGAGACGAGTCAGAGGCTTCACAATATCCGAAAATATCCGATCGTAACGTCCAAGGAAGCTCCTGAGTTGGTGCCAATCTTTTGGTACTGGCCATTGCTTGACTGCTCGTAGCTTCTCAGGGTCGACTTCCACACCCTGGCTTCCTACGACGTGTCCCAATTAGTTAACCCGTTTCTGCAGCAGATGACATTTCCTCAGATTGAGCGTAAGGTTTGCAGCCTGAAGTCCCTTGAAGACTTCCTCTAGGTTAGCCAGATGTTCTTCAAAAGTTTTACTATTCACGATGATGTCATCCAGGAGAGTCATTTCAATACCGTTTCTATGATTCGTTCAAAGGTGGCTGATGCATTGCAGAGTCCAAAAGGTATAACCTTGAATTGCCATAACCCAGAGCCGGTGGTGAATGATGTCTTCTCCCTGTCTGACTATTGGATAGCTCGATTGTCCCTTCTTGTTCTATGTTCTGGATGATCTTGTCTGCAATTTTTCTCTTGGCATGTGGCAATCTCCGAACTGAATGAATGACGGGTCGAAACTGGTTTCTTGTGATCGGCCCGCTTTAGTTTTCCTGCAGTTGTTTTAAGTGGTTTCATTTTCTCATCCAAGAGACCCTTGACGGCGTTGATGAGGTCTTCAGTAGAATCTGACCTGTGGATCTCGGCTGGTTCTTGCTGTTATTCATGGCTCGTACCTTCGCGGATCCTCGGGAAGCTTCTACTGTGGCCTCGATCTCGAGCGCAACTGCCGCCAGAGCACTGGTGAGCTCTTTTGGTCGAGTCAGGCGAACTGCTTTCTGCATTTAAATATCTCATAGTCCATCTACGAACGTTTGAACAGCCAAGCATTCCATTAGAGACTCGGGAGCTGATGGATAAACACTTGCTGAAGATGTTCGTGACCATACCGCATTTTGAGGCGTTTGACGAGATGATCGTAGCTATCGGCTTCTACCTCCGGAATGGCTTGCGAGATGTTCAGTGCATTACTCCGTAGAGCTACTGTAAGAGCCACTACCTTGTCATTTGATGTCCATTGTAAGGTAATGTAAGGTCAGGCAGCCGCGTGGTTGAAGTGTTAGTATTCTATCGCGTTCGCTTGCTGATCGTGGATTCAAATCCCGGAGTGCAGAAATTTTTCTGATAGCCTAAGAAAGTATTAGGATCATACGTTAAAAGACATTCCTTGCTCATACAGGTCTCTTGAAGACTTCTGATGGTTGCTCGTTAGGGGGCAACCGAAGGACGAAAAAGAACAATTTCAGAACAATTTCTTTTTTTTAACATGAATCTACGATTTGGTCGGGATTTCATAACTTTTCCAAAATTATCTCAGAATGTATTTCTGAGACCTATTTGGGGCAGAAGGGCTGTTCGCAACACACGTCAATGCTTTATTTTCATTTTTTTTTTTTAGTCCATGATAGAGATAGATATAAGGATGAGAGGTTATCTTCCCCGGTCTGAATCAAATAAAAGAAAGATGCAATGATCAGTTTCTGGTTCGCAGACGTGCTGAAGCGCGGCGACAAAGACACCTCGGACATGCTCCTCTACTGGGACTCCTGGGACCGCCACCACCAGCTGAAGGGCGGCCCATCGCCGCGGCTCAACCGATCCCGGGCGGCGCGCAACTCGGTGCCCTCGGAGGACGGCCTGTTGCTCAACAACAACCACGTGACCGGCAGGGGAGGTGAGAACGACTCGGGGCTGCCGAGCCCGTCGGCGGGTGGCCTCGACGTTCGGTGTATGCTCGGCGCTCCGCCACTCACCCCGCCCGGCCGGGGGGGTAAAGGTATGCATGCGCATGTGTAGGTCGCAGCTTTCGAGGAGTGAGTAGATTGAATAGAGTGACGACGATTTATTGATTGATTGATTGCTTTTATTACCCCAAGAAACATATACAGGGTGGAGACTTTAACTGGAATAAATTCGCTACTGGGGAAGTGAATGATTTTTCTGAAAAGTCGCGAGACACGTCGACGTTTAAATGTAATTACCAACATTTGGAGCCGGGATTGGCGCAGTGGAAGAGCGTCCGTCTCACGACCGCAAGGTCGTGGGTTCGATTCCCAGCACGAGCAACGAACTTTTTTCAATATTTTATTTACGAATTAAATATTGTACAGTTTCGGAGCATTGGCTGGGGATAGTCCTGCATGATTCGCTGTTGCGTTCCAATTAACAGTGCTGCTCCTAAAGTGGTGCATGGAGCTAGTAACAAAGCCTTCACAGAACACGCAGAAATGTTTATAATAAGGATACATGAACAGATATAAAAAATAATCATAATAATAAAAGGTTAACTAACGAATTCCACTCATTAAAAGCAAATACATACTTTTTCTTAAGATGACAGTTATTACATTTCAATTCTGAGCAATCAAATCATGTCAAATATTTTTCAATCAAATTGTCCTGACCAGGTATTTTTTAAGATTGACTTCAAATCTTCTTACATCATGTATATGTATATGTCAATTACTTTGGTAATTTATGAAATATAGATTGTTTGCCAATGTTTGACTTGAATGTATTTGCTATCAAGTAATTTAATTGTCTAGTCCCATGAGTATTGACTCCATTAAAAGCCAAGTTTGATATTTTGAATTTATTCCTGACAAAATGAATAAAAGAACATATTTTGAGTTTATATAACGAAATCAGATAAATGCATCAATTATTCCTGTAGATAAGATCAAAAGACTCAAACAAGTATAAAATCCTTTCAAGTATTATGGAGTCATCTTCATCGATAAATATCAATGTATTTTGCCTTGTAATACCGATGCACCTACTAAGGAGGATAACAAGAAAGCGGGAACAACATCATCCATTATAAATTATTTTTTTTACGAATGAACAGCAAGATCCCGGAATTATATTATATATAACCTAAAAATGATCAGCTGAATGTCACAACTCTCAAAATGAGTCACATCGTTTTATTGTTCGTCAATTCTACTGCCACTGGCGGAATCGGATAAATAAACCGCAACTACTGAATAGCTAAAAATCTGAAGGGTATATTTTATGCAGTAATGTATTTGCACCTTTGAAGTGCCCACCTGATGTTAGGTTAGATATTGGTCATTTCCTTCTCATCATCTGAATAATCCGAGTCCCAAAATACTGATTCTAATGGTTAATATTCAAGGTACTGACGTATAGAGTTTCATGTCTGATTGTTGGATGTTCTGTGTTCAAAGAGCAAAAATCAGAGACAAAGCACTGACGGAAGTGTAGAACTGAATGGAGAAAACAAGACAGGTGGATGCACCTCCATATAAGAAGTCTGACCAATCAAAAAGTGTTCTACTATATTGTCGTCACTCTATTTATAAAGTCACTCTACGTAGAATCAGAGTGACCTTATAAATCAGAGTGGCGATAATAGTGATCCACTTGTCTTGTTTTCTCCATTCAGTTCTATGCATTATGTTTCACCTTGTCAACGCTTTGCCACTGTTTATCGATCTTTGGACACAAAACATCCAACAATCAGACATGAAACTCTATACGTCAGTACCTTGGATATTAACTATTAGAATCCGTCTTTTGGGACTCGTAAGTCTTAGATTTTTAGATGATGAAATGAAAATATCGAATATCTAAACCTCACATCAGGTGGGTGGGCACTTCGAAGGCGCAAATTCATTACTGCATGTGAGAGATACCCTTCCGATTTTCAGCTATTCAGTGACTTGACCACGAATGACATTCCGGAAACGGCAGCCATCTTGAGGTTTATTGTCGCCACTCTATTTAATCTACTCACTCTACATAGAATGTTGTTTTTGAGAGCATCGGATTATTACGGATATGGATTGAAACTAAAAAAAAAATATTTCGGGGAAAAAATCTAAGGACGAATCTCCCATGGGAAAAAAATTACTGTGCAAAAATCTTGCTGTAAAATTTCCTCTGAGAAAAATCTTTGCGTTGCTTAAGTATGACGGTTTTAAAAATATACCGGAATCTGCTTGACACTTAATTGAATAAAATCCGTAACAATATTTTTGAGTTTATTACTCAAGACCTATTAGTTTTCTTCAATCAGCTCTCTTACTTTCTCCTCTATCTTCTATCCTGTCTCCTTTTGCTTCTCTCCTTTTCCTCCTCTCACTTTTATCTCGTTTCCCTACTCTCACTTTTATCCCTCCGTTCCCTCCTTTCTCTTCTCAATCTCTCTCTCTCCTTCCTTTCCTCTCTTACCTTTCTATCCTCTCTCCTCTCTTTTATCTCCTTTTCCTCCTCTTGCCTCTCTCTACACTACCTTCTCTCACTCCTCTATGTCCTCTCTCCTCACCAAAAACATTTTTTTTCGGAATAATTTTGTGCCGAAACTGATTCGAGATTTTAGTGCAACAGATTATTCATCCCATTTTCAACAGCAAATTGGCACTGCTAAATATTTCTATGTCTTATTTATCATCAGCTTTCCTATCAGGTCTGCGTGGCAATATTATGAAAATATTTTACCAGGTGGTGCCTATTTTACTTCATTTGGATTATCATTGTCAAGAAACAAGGTCAGGTTTGATGATATATTGAGATTGAAGCTATCATTTCGTCATTTTGAATAATTATTGCATCACTTCAGTGTTTTCTCAATTTAATCTATTGATTCTATTGGGTGTTTACAAACTGTATACATCTCAGCAACTGTGAAAATTTCTTGTAAATCTTTGATGAATTGCTGTGAACTTTCACAAGGTCAATATTTGAAATTCCAGCTGCTACTGTATGGAGTTTATAAACACCCGATATTATTTTTTGAATGTCAATGTTCAAGATCCTTTGAAAGAAAATGTATTGATGCATTTTTATGTTTGCATAATGATATTTGATGTGATTTTATTAAATGTGTGGTGATGAAAAGAAGTCGCTAAAAATCATTGTTTATGGACTGAAAAACACCTGCTCATTCAATGCCAATATTTATATTTTCATTTTATATTTTGTGCAATTACATGAACTTGAAGGATCAACAGCATCCACTGTGTTCTAGGACAATCATTTTTAGTGACCAAATATGTGATGTAAGTGTTAAATGGTATATCAAGCAATTGATTTGAATCATAGCAGTATGGTAGTACCGTGAAACGGGGGTACTTTGAACCACGTGGCTACTTTGAACAAAAAATAAATGTTGTAATATTGACTCATAGTGAAATAACCATTAGGTTCAGCGACATCTAGTTTTCACCACTCAATTCGTCACACATTTGAGAATGGCATAGTAACATTGGTATGAAAATAATTTTTGTGAAGTTGGCTATCCCTACAAAACTGACGTTTGATTAGGTCTGCAAACTTTGTTTGCTGAAGCTGTAAGTATTTACAGTACATTTTCACAAAATATATTTGCTACAGCAATACATTATCATAGCAGAGTTATACAGGGTGATATTTTTAAAACTTTCCTGACTGTCCGAACAGATGTAGATCTTCTGCTCTGGTCGCTCTTTCACCTCATGTTTCTCTGCTACGACCAGGATGGCGAACACCTCAGCTTGGAAAACTGTGGTGTATTTTTCTAGAGCGTAGCTTTCTCGTATGTTTCCCCCTTCGAGATAGATTCCTGCACCCGAGGCCTGTCTGTCAGTCAGACGGGATCCGTCTGTGTAACATACTAAGCTTCCTGAAACTCTACTGTATTGTTTCTCCATTCCTCTCTGCTTGGAATGGTAAGTTTGAACTTCCTATTCCATCTCAGCTTGTCCTGTACTTTATTCACTCTGAGAGTGGAGATAGGAATCTCTTGCTCCACCCACTCTGCTATTTTTGCATGTCCTGTTATTGTTCCTTCACTTGCCCAGTTTCCCGAGTCCCGCATCCTCAGGTGAGCCGCCATCGCCTCCTTCTTTATCCAGATTTGAAGCGGTGGTAGCCCCAGCATTACTTCTAATGCTGCCGTTGGCGTCGTCAATTAGAAAACTTCCCACCCGATAATATCTTCCTTTCAGTAAATGATATGAAAAATCGAAAAGACACGTCAATTGGTGGAATGGTGGAGGAGCCAAGTTCCTCTTTTATTTATTTTTTTCTGAAGTGAAATTTGACCTTATGAAAAAAAGGGAAGATACGTATATATTATTTTTTTACAAACTTCACAGTGAGATAAGAACCTCAATATAGGAAATTTCCCCATTCAACACATCTTCTTCAGCCCTTAGATGTAGCATTTTATGGTCAATTAAAACGATATTGGCGTCAGATACTAGATGAATAGAAAACGACAGTGAGGTGTAAATCACAAACACTAACCAAAGAGGAATTTCCAAAGTTACTATTCAAATTATACAGCAAATTATATCCAACAGGGAATGAAGTGTCAGAAAATATGCAAGCTGGCTTTAAGGCGTGTGGAATCTATTCATTAGATCCGCAGCATCATCTGAAACGTTTACAGGACTATGGGCCTGAGCAGAATCAAGTACATGAACATTTGTCTAGGGCTGTAGCTGAAGTGTTGAAAGAATTTTGGGGAGTTGATGTACCAACACAGAGACAGAAGAAAAAGAAGATCAATGTTCAACCTGGAAAAGCATGTCTGTAGACGACCTCAAAGGAAATCAGAATGTTTCAAACAAAGTTGAGGAAGGCTTGGTTCAAGAAGAAACTGAAAATTAAGAGTGAAATTGAAGAACTAGACCAGGAACCTGAGTCTGATATAGATGAATCACTCTCAGAATATCTTGGAGATATAAAACTAGATGAATATTATTTGGTTCAGTTCAAAGTGAAAGCTTTAGTTCATCACTATGTAGGAAAAGTTATTTCCATTGATGACATGGAAAACCAAAATGTTGAAATTGCATTTTCAAGAATGTCGAATTATTAACAGCTCTGAAATACCCCCAGATAAACAGGAGAGGGGCCTACTTGTTTGGTGCAAATCATCTTCGTCCATATCTGAAAAGTTTGCTGTAGAATGTTTAGTTTATACTGTTTGTGAATAATAAAATACTTTATTTTATGTAAATTATGAATTTTTGTTACATAACTTTTTTTTGTCAAAAACAAGGGTTTCCTACTTTTGAGGTATTCAAAGAAACCCCGACTGTGAGATAACTTTGAACACCTATGAAATGATCAAAAAAAATTGTTATTGATCATATTAAAATCTAATTTTTAGTCAGCAAAAAGGTCTAAATGACGCACGTGACATATATTTTTTTTTTTTTTAATTTTTATTCGCTGCCGTACTTGAGATATATAGAATTAAAACAAAAAACCGTTCAAAATAACCCCGATTTACGGTACTTATACTGATATTATCGACTATATTTTTATCAAATTCTCAGTACCATCGTCACTATATCCGTCGGTTCTGCTTCTTAAATTACACAAACACAGAAATTAATTAATTTTCATTGTGTGTCTATGAAGTGACGCATACAATACATTCATTATCAGCTAAGCAAACAATACTATATCAAACATTCCTGAAACGGGCCGATTTTTCATCAATCTACTGTTTTTTAAATAATTATTCATTATACAGAGTAATCTACCTTCGTGTGATGACATCATCACCGTTAATTATGAATTTATGCGTCACATTATAGAAGCACTATACAAAAACGCCATTTCACCAATACGGAACTCTAACCAATAATTAATTTACTTTTGAATTCAAGAAAATTCAACCCTAATAACACAACTCGTTCCAATCGACGTCCTATGGACATCTCGGACATCCAGTTTGTGTACACTGGATGACGTATGGACATCCATAGGATAACGCGTTCCCAACTTTTTAGCTTCATGGACATCTATATGGTATCCGTCATGGACATCCATATGTTAACTTTTATAGGATGTCTGAAATGTATGCATTCATATATAGGAACAATAAGATCTGGTCAATAAATAGAATCTATATTTCTGGTTATTATAGATTGTGAATGTGATTATATTCAAGATTCTATATCAGATTGGTGTGATATGTTGCTTCTATTGAAACCCCCTTCATTATTTTCAGTTTAGTAGAGATGACAGAATATGCGTTCGATCTGAACAAATTTTTCATGTTCACTTTAACACTATTAGGTACTTTCAGATCCGTTTTACTACTAGTTGAAATTCCTCATCTTTATCAACACATCCTAGAATGGCTCTGCACTTCAAGTGATCTATTTACTATCTGACCAAAATGACATAACAATAAAACACAATATTACCCGATACTGTTGTGTTGATAAGCATTATCACTATTGTCAGTGGGGACATGTAATTGACACCATATGGATAACTTTTCCTGGACAACCATTGGGTAACTTTATGTGGACATCCTATTGTTGTCCAGAATGTGTCAGTGGACATCTTGGACATATAATGGACACCATATGGATTACTTGACCTATTGTTGTCCTATTGTTGTCCAGAATGTGTCCATGGACACCTTGGATATATGTATAATAGACATAATGCGGATATTCAATAGACATCTTGTGTTATTAGGGAACATATCAAAATTTGCATCTGCCTGGTTTTCAGTCAATAAATTTCGAAATTCGATTGCCCTAGAATTATAAACCTATTTGGCGAAATAGTGATTTACATATCATAGAAGGTTCCGTACTATCAATGTGTATATGTTATTTCATACATTGAATTATAACACTTACAAGTTCGGCCTTTTATCTTTTATAATTATAAATTGTGATAATTCAATTATAATGAATGTTCAATGAATCCACCTTTACAGTCTCCATGAAATGAATCTCTAATTTTCTTTGGACAGGTATGAAATTTCCCAGTACTCCACCGGCAAGGAGAAAGCATCTGACCGGCAACAACGCCCCCACTCTTCTACCCGACTATCCGTTAACGAAAAGCAAATCTCACGAGTCTCAGTTGGCAGCTGCCAAAGGAGAAATAGAAACTAACCCCACTAAGTAAGTCGATTCTGGAAATCTACCAATTATTCTGAGAAATTGAAAGAATTTCAGACTAAATAACAATAGGTAGACAGCGATTCATTCATAAATCATTAAAAAGTATATACAATTAGTTTTTCAAACTACCATGTATTACAAAGCTCGTTCGCCATATTGTATCCGCCATCTAGAATTATCAAATTGTCTCCGACCCGGGAAATCCCCCAGACACCAATTTTGAATGAAATCGGATCGTAATTTCGCAACTTGTCCGCCATATTATATCCGCCATTTTGAATTCCTTGATTTTAACAAAAGAATCATAAACTCAGACCCTGAAACCCCCCTGATAACAATTTCGAATAGAATCGGATCATAATCACTTCAGTGGACTACTTGTCTGTTTGTATCTTGATGACAATGAAATAAATAAATAATTATAAAACTCGTCCGCTATATTGGATCCGCCATCTTGAATTTCCAATTCTAAAAATAGCTCATGACCGATTCTCAGGCCTATCAAATATGCACAAAAAAGAATCGATCAAGCCGTTTTGGAGGGGTTTGGCAATAAACACCCTGACAGTAGGATTTTATATATTAGACTAGCTGAACCGCCAAACGTTGTTTTGTCATGAATATTGTTTTCGAACATAGTTTTTTAGCTGATTAAATATTCCTTGATTTTAACTATAAACATTTGGAATCCTAGCTTAATGTGTTAGTTAGAAATAGAAATATCCTGACGTTTGTATCTGAGTTACAGGGAAGACGAATTCGATTTTTGTTTTAGTGGAACAGGAACGGTGGGTAGGCGAGCAAGGTTGCCCACCGAACCGGGACCTGATACAACAGGTTTCAACAGTCCAATTCCTACCAGTCCTATCAAGTCGCCTCCGTACAACCTTACCGGAGGGGATAGTGATGATAATAGTTATAAATGTAAGCACAGAACATAATATTTAAGTGGTTGAAGAAAAATAGTGGTTACCAAGGTACAGAAAACATTTTTCTAAGTCGAGAGGTCATTTGTGCCGAGATTTTATGCAGGGTGAGTCATAATTATTGGAACATAGGCTAGGGGTGGATTGTTTGGACCAGATATGCCTTTATAAATTATTGCTGTGGAAAAATATACAGGGCATATCATTCGAAAAAGTATTGACTATAAACTAGAACCAAAATGTATTCACTGACAAGAAATGGAGATTTTACACTGTTCAATTGCGTTTTTCTCGAAAACGGATGAAAAAATCGTGTTTAAACATGAGTACCAATATTACATTGACATGATTTTTATGTCATGAAAAGTTACCAGTCGATTTCATCATCAAGAATCATTCGAGTGGTGCCCCTTGTAACAAACTGTAGAATAATACATAAAATAATATTCCCTGTAAAAAAGCAAAAAACGAAGAAAAAATTCAATTCAAATCTATATTATCCTATGGAATAATTGGATGGGGTGGTATGTATGAAACTCATCTAAATCCTTCATTATTTATTCAAAAATATGTTTTCAAAATAATATTCCCTAAATCATTTGATTATCTATCAGCATCATTATTTTTATAAAATAATATATTGAATATTAGGCAATTATTTTATGAGGCGTCAATAATCTTTATTAAAAAGAATCCGGCAATAACCAATAAAATCAATCATAGTTATGATACAAGAAACAAAATCAACAATGTACGACTTGAAAAACATAAGCTTAGAATTTTAGAAAAACATTCTAGCTTTATTGGATCTAAAATTCATAATAAAATAGCATCAAAATTAAAACGCCTAAATATCATAACTTTCAAAAAAGAAGTTGAAAGTTGGCTTACAGAAAATGCGAAAAAAATCGATGATCTCTTTTGATGAACTCTATTTTTCTTTATTTTAATTTATTCTCATTATTGTATGAATTGATTATTTGTTTTTAGTTGAGGAATTTATATTGCGAAAAAGCAATTTTATACATGAAATAATTCATCTCTTTCACGCACAGGTCACTAACCTATGTGAAAGAGATACACTATGAAATATATATACATGTAATTGATATTCGATGACAAAATGTAGATTTTACTTGATTCAATAAATGAATAAATAAATGCCCTTTCATTGAGGCATATTTGGCCTTATCATCATACCAATAGATATGACTCACCCTGCATACCTATTAGTTTTTCCACTATAAGCACACTTTTCCTAATATATTTGTTTTTCTGACTCCATGTTATGATGGCATCTGAATGGCATATATTATATAATATTTATGATTGATGACATGATGTAAAAACCTCACACAACATATAGTGGAAATTTTATCGTTTGGGAGGTTTTTACATTTGTTATGGATTTCTATCAGGTAACGGCCGAGTCAATTAAAAAAATGATGACATGATATCGAAAATAGTTCAGTGGCACAGACAAAGACAGAATTATTGGACCTCTCTAAATTTTAAAACGTCTTTATTAGAAAAAAATGTGTCTTCTCCTTGTATCCTTGTCTTCAGGGTTCCAAAATGAGAAGAAATCGAGAAAAATACCATTCCAATCGTTTTTATATTGAGGTTAAAACGGTCTTCTTTGTTTCTTTTCATTTTATGTGTTACAAAACATGACATTTTCATAAATTCACATTGCAACAGTGAAGACAAGCACACAAGGGATATAAACTGCTGATCAATGGAACCGCATCAAACACATTTTTGTTCTAAATTCAACATTGAATATATGGAAAATCTACTTATTGGGATGCGGTTTTCATTATTCTGAAGATCTGAAGATTGATCCATTGGGTATTTGACAGATAGACCGCTGATGGAAATACATGGTAACCTGTGGTTATACAGGGTGACAAACAAACCTCTGCAAAATATTGAAAAATTCTCCATACTCCCAATTTGATGGAAAATTTTTGATATTTGTTTCAAGCATATATTCATAATTCTCAAGCATATTCCTCGAAATAGTTTCGCAATTTTTCTCCTATCTTAACAGATTTTCGTGAGAAAGATTTTTTTTTGAAAAATGTGATAATTTGTACTGCTGACCAGAAATATTCTCATTTGTAGCTCAAATATCACAGATTTTCTCTTGGATGAGCTATTGTGACCTTTATTGTATGAAATCTTATATTGTTTATATACATAGTGTTTGGCAACAATATTTGATAGATATTATTACAGGAAGACCGAGCACAACATATTGATCAACTTGTATAGTGGTCGAGATTGAATGACAGCAACTTTCCGTGAAGTTGCAAAAAAAAACTGAGAAAGAATAGACAGGGTGATATACCAAGATTGATGGAAGTTTCATGCAATGAAACTTTGAGAGTTCAAAAATGTATGTGATATATCAATGAATTCTTACTCATCTCTCTTACTCTTGCCACTACTACAAATTTCACAATCACATTTTTCGAAAAAAAAATCTTTTTCACGAAAATCTGGAGAGATAAGAGAAAAATTGCGAAACCATTTCGAGGAATATGCTTGAGAATTATAAAAATATGCTTGAAAAAAATCTGAAAAATTTTCCATCAAATTGGGAGTATGGAGAATTTTTCAATATTTTCCAGAGGTTTGTTTGTATAGCCCTGTATAGCCAAAAGATACCATGAATTTCTATCATATCAGCGGTCTATCTGTCATATACCCAATGGATCAATCTTGAGACTTAAGAAAACCGCATCCGAATAAGTGGAATTTTCGCGAAAATATGTTGAATTTAGAGCGAAAATATGTTGAATTTAGAGCGAAAATATGTTGAATTTAGAGCAAAAATGTACTTGATGCGGTTCAATTGATCAGCAGTTTAGTTTTATCAATCTCGCATTATTCCTAGCTATAAGTTTGCAAGTGCCCAAATCGCCCAGAACGCCGACAGTCGTGGGCAGGATAATGACGCATCAGATCAATCACCGGTTCGCGAAAACCTTCAAGATGATGTCCACGTGCGGATACTGCCAGAAACAGATCTATTTCGGCACGGGGCTCAAGTGCAAGGAGTGCAAATATACTTGCCACAGGGAGTGCGAGGATAAAGTGACGCCATCTTGCGGTTTACCGCCTGAACTACTAGATGAATTCAAGAAAATGACGATGGAAGGTGATCTATGATATATTCTTATTACAGATTATGCATTTCTTATTCAATATATCAGTCTTACTACTAAAACCAAATGAAAAGAAAAAACAGCTGATAAACTGACATCTGTCAAGCTTCACAAGTAAACCGTGACGTCATCATAAAGTTAACCTGGTTTGTCTGGTTAGGTTCGAGAAAAAAATGGCTAAAGAATAACAATGTTGGATAGTTCTCCCGCCAAAAGACCCCGCACCGCTCTTATGGGTTCTCGGGTTCCGGTCAAATTGGCTGGAATTATACTATGTTGAAGTTTGTGATATCTTGATCAAAAGCTCTCATGGGCCTAATTCTATGACTAGTTTCCGAGCAACAGCGATTCAAATGTTGGATTGTGTGCCTTTCAGGGTGGTAGAACAGACATATTTTTTTAAGTGAATTTGTGCCCTATGAGCTTCAAAGAACGACTTGTTGATAGAATTTCATTAAGTTTGTTTGAAGAATAATTCGAACAACTGAAATATTGAGAACAGGGTGATGCCTAATATCTTGACAATAGGGAATTTCACCATGATTTTTTGATTTTTTTTTACGATTTAGAACACATACTGGATGAATTCATCATTTTTTTCAATTTTCTTACGATTGCGGTTGACTCAGAAAAAAAATATTAAATTGAACCTAAATTCTAACGATAGTTCGAATGCGCGCGAAATATTGATGGCATTTCATTGGACGAATACAAGGTGCGTCACACCGCGTCATACACTGGGTAATTCGTCTTGTCACTTGGTCTTGTCACCATTTGTCATTGTATTTGTCACTCAATAAAAACTATAATAGTAATATTCTTTCGTTCTGAACGTACTGACACATTTCACATGAACTGAACTGAATCAGTTGACATGCAATGAACGTCATTTGGAAGAACGCATATTAACTGATTCAGTCCAGTTCAAGTGAAATATTTTAGTCACTAATATGACACTGATAGATCACTGAAAATGAAATGAAATAATGAACTATGAACTAGATTTCGAAGTTAATCTTTTTCTTCTTCTATAGTTTGTTTTGTAGCCATTTTTCTCTCAAGTCACAAATCACCCAACCACTCTATGCTCGAGTTCTGTGTCTGTGGTTTTGTGCAACGTATCCTCTTTGGGTCGTCAGAGGGAGCCTCAAGAAAATACTAGTGACGTCACATCGCGAAAAATGGTCGTTTGAAACTCTCTCGATTTGTAGCACTTTTGAAGTATTATTTAAACGGTTGTAAAGGAATCAATAGATGAGAGGAAGTAATATTTGATATACTGAGTTATGTATGAGACCGTTCGCCATATAAAAAGGGCTATTTTCAATCATAGTGAAATTGCCTATTAATTATGTTTTGTAATAATCATGAATCTCCGTATATCATAAATAAATGAAGAAATCGAGTATAGAGGGCAGTATCGCACAGAGACGTAAGCGTTACTTCCATTTCATGAAATTAAATTAATAATTTGACTGTAGGAGCGAAACTATGTGCTATTTTGTATGATGCAACACTTGATATTTCAAGTTTGATTCATCAATTCCTTTTTCATCTTACTTGATCAGTCATTCTTCAGATATTACTTTCGTCTTATCTTATATTCTATCAGTATTTATAAGTGAAGGGCAGATATTTTGTGAATTAGTTGAAGTCCAAAATGCAAGCTTCAGTTCATTTGGTACGCTCCTACTCCAAATAATTGAAATGTCGATTACAGGATGCCATTGAGAATCTTGACAATAATTAATTTAATGTAAAAAAGTTGATCAAACTTATATTAATCAGTTTATTGAACAAAATACGTGAAGCTCTTTGAATGAGTAATGCTATAATTCAGCGGGATTGTTTTGATGTGGCCTATTCGCAATGTCTAGTACACAAATTCACTTAGAAAAATATGTCTGTTCTACCACCCTTAAAGGCACACAATCCAACATTTGAATCGCTGTTGCTCGAAAACTAGTCATAGGATTGAGTTGTGCCCATGAGAGCTTTTGACCAGGATATCACAAACTACAACATACTATAATTCTAACCGATTTGACCGGGACCCAAAAACCCATAAGAACGGTGCGGGGTCCTTTCAAAAATTGACTAATTTGACAGATCACTTTGTTTTGGGTGTAAGGACCCAGAATCACTTCAGAAAGTAATCATCAAACTGTTCTGCAGTAAAATAATTTGATACTTTTTCATACAATATGTTCCTGAAAAGAGTATCCATCCAATAAGGATATACAGTGTTTTTCTTTAATGTCCCCCCCTTTTATTTTTTGAACGGGTCAACTGAAAAAATTGAAACTTGATATAATGAAATTGATGCATAAATACTATATTTTGAAGTGAGATTGACAGATGAAAATTTCAAGATGGCGACTGGGCGCCATCTGGCGAAAAGTCAATGGTGTTGTGACACATAGAATATAAAGTCAATATCTTCAACTACTACAAAACGGTGGAACATTTAATAGTTGCCTGGCTGTTCATGAGAAAGAAGTTCAAGGCAACCATTTTGAGCATCTTCTGAACTGAACTCACCTTATTTCCTCAAATTATGGAGTAAACAATGATGTTTTCAGGCAATTATTAAATGTTCCGCAATTTTGTAGTAGGTGAAGGTATTGACTTCATATTCTAGGGTTGTGACGTATTCGTCAGGAGCTTCAAAAGTATGAATCACAGGACCCTCATTTCCATTTAATTTTTCCAGATGGTACCCAGTCGCCATCTTGAAATTTTCATCTGTTAATTACACTCCGAGATATAATATTCATTTCATTATCCCAAGTTTCAGTTTTTTCAGTCGACCCGTTCAAAAAATGAAAGCGGGGGGGCATTAAAGAAAAGTACTGTATTTCTGAAACAATATGAACATAATTTTAAAGAAAATATTTTTATTTTGTGCTCTCATGTTTAATATACAGGGCGTCAAAGTATCTCATGCTTACGATTTTCGATTTTGCAGGAAATGTTTTTGTTTCGCCTACTCCAGCGAGAGCGAGCAATACCAAAAACATGATAAATTCTCTGACGAGGAATAGGGCGAGGAAAAATTCTCACCCCCAACCCTCGATAAATACACCTCCATTCCCAGTAAGTATCTTTTTCGAAAATATACCACCTCAAAAAGCTTTAATCAACTACACTCAATGTTTTCTGAATCAAAATTCATTATTATGAATTACAACTTCCATTTTCTGATATAAATTGTATACTTCACCTTGTGAAACAGGCCGTGCTCAATCGATTGAGACCTTGATTATGTGGCTACGGCCAAAAGTTCTTGAGATATTAACGGTCAAAGTATGCTATTCAGAATGAGCGAGTGGACTTATAATGAGTTATTGGCATTCAATCTACAAGCGTCTCGGGATGTTAAGGTGTTACTAATCAGAAATCATGAATTTGTAATACGTTTGAAAAACCTGAAAAAGTATTCCACTAGAGACTCTTACCAATGTGTAGAAATTATTTTCACTGGCTCGCTAACGTGCTCGCTCAGAGTTCGAATTTTCAGAAACGTGCTCGGGCGACAGTGCGATTCTCATAACCTCAAATCATGGAGTGGGTTATGAATGTATCTAATCTATTGAAGTTGGATTCTTGAATTTATATATTTTTTGGGTACGAGTGATGTAGAATTTCGGAGAGTCGATCAAAACAGCATGTATTAAATGTTAGAAAACTTGCCTGAAAGTTCTTTGCAAGGAATGATATTTGCATTAGAGATGTGACGAATAGTTTTCGTGTAGAAAAACACATTTTGCATAGACATTATCAGAGATAATTACTGTTTAGTTGATACGGCTCCTAAACTGACAATTTTGACAATAGCGACCTTCGTGTCCAAAACCGGTTTGTTGGTGGTTAAGCGATATTTAGCTACAATTCAAACCTAATTCGACAATTGGGAAGTCATCAGATCATTTTTATTTTCTAACTAGAGCAATAAATATTTTGGTGGAAAACGATGACGTAAACGGTGAATCTAGGGTGAACATGGGTATAATAAGAGAATAGAATTCGAACAAGCCCGAACTCTCGCCCGAACTTGAAACGAAGAAAAAAAACAAGGTTTTACTTTTTCAGAAGGCTACTCATAATGATCACGAGTATACCTAGTTATGAAATCGTGACGTCAGTTTTTACTCGTGGTACATTTCTATCAATTTTAAAATTACCGTGGCATTATTGATAATTTTAGCACCTTAAAATGGAAAATTCTAAAAAAATATGCAATTGAAAGGTATTTGAATGATGATTCTATTAAAAAAAAAATTGTCCACTCGCCTATTACAATTGAAAAGGGATTTAGTCCTTAAACAGGCTCTCAGTGAAAAATATTCCAGAAAGACCCTGTTGCCAAATTCAAAGAAAGTTCAGGATGCCCTAAAATATTTATCATGCTGTTATCCATAAAATTATGCAATTATTGTAATTTCAATCATTTTACTTAGGCTCTACTTCTTGCTTTTCAGCCTCCAGATTCTAGCTCAAATACGTCTAGTTGTAATAGTTCAACACCATCGAGTCCTGCAGTCCAAATTTTGACCACTCCACATTCAAGTTACAAATCCACATTTCATTTTCCAGGTATGTTCGAATATTTCTCCAATAGGTTAACTGATGGGTGTTATATGGGGTGTTCTAAAAAATCAAAGCGTTTGCAGGCACTTCTTTGAAAAATCGCCTGAGAGTTGGTGTGAAAATATCAAGTTGGGACTTTGCCCGGTAAAAGTGCACTTATCATGCGATGGTTTTTTTTTTTCGAAATTTTTTTTTGGTACTTACGTATTTTTGTCTGAAAAATACGAATTTCATGATGAAAATGTGAACAAACCATTACTTATTAAGTAATAAAGTTACAAATTTCACCTTCTTTTCCGCCAGTCTTTTGAATCTCATTTAGAACAATTTGCCCTTCTTTTTTCATCATTGGACAATTTATATATCACAATGTACTACAATGACACATTTTTTCTACTATATGAGAACTAAAAATAAGATTTTCTTGTGATTTGTCCATATTTAGTGAAAAGAAGGAAGAATATCATTTAAAATAATGGCGTGTGTAATGCCATTCAAAAGCAATCTGTTGACATTTGACATCTCGTATTTGGATTGGCTATTGAGTAAATGGCGGTCTCCTGGTATGATTGTTCACTAGAGTTGAAAAACTCGCCATAAAATAGTATATTATGTAACAAGTGTTATAAATTTCCTTTTAGTAACGAGTAGTTTGAGCACGAGCGGAGCAGAGCGGAGCGAGTGTTTAATAAACGAGTGTCTAGAAGAGTTTATAAACGCGTTACATACTATGCTTTTTCTACGAACTCCGAAAATTACATTAACATACCTGCTATTCCTGCTAACCTACAAAATAATTCGAAAGGAATGAGAATTGAGAACATAAAACATGCAACTGCATGCAACCAGCGAGACACGTATAAGTGATATTGGTTGTAGATGTGTCCAGTCCATTGCTTACTAACCTTTGTTTCACGTTTATTGCCATGCTTAGCGCAGAATAAATAAATTGTTCTCAAAGATGGATGCTTCATTTTTCCACTTCTTGGAGATACGCAAGTACCAAAACATTCTCTTCGATTTCACTTTCTTATTATACATTTCGCATACATTATCAATGAAAATTTCAGATACAAACAAAAATTGTTTGAATAATTCTGATACAAAATTCGAAAATGACAGTTGACAGCTCCTACAATTGACTGGCCAGACATGTCTCAACTGGAGCTGTGTTTAATGAACTGTGTTGCCATGGTAATGTGTTTAAGAATTCGTGTTGCCATGGTTTAATATTTTGAATAAATCACAGATCGTCAATTCGTGATTAATGGATCATTTAGCGTGGTACGTATCGGGGTGCCCCAAGGCTCAGTCTTGGGGCCCGTCTTGTTTTTAATATATATAAATGACTTGCCATCTATAGAACCAGGAGCAAAATTCACACTATTTGCGGATGATACGACGGTGGCCATTTCAGCAAATACACTAGAAGAGGCTCTAAGGAGTACAGTAGATATTCAAAATAACATCCAGAGTTGGTTTTGTGCCAACAAACTTCTACTCAACACCGGAAAAACAAATAAGATTGTCTTTTCAACTAGGGACACGGGTGTGACCAACGGTGACGTGAGTAGTGTGAAATTTCTGGGGGTACAGATTGACCCACTGCTGCAATGGGGTGTGCATATTGATGGGGTGGCAAGCAAATTAAGGAGTGGCTTATTTGCTCTTCGCTCTCTAGCTGGTAATGTCTCTATTTCTTCATTGAGGACAGCTTACTTTGGAATGTTCCATTCTGTGATGTGCAGTGCGATATTGGTATGGGGGCACGTACCACAGTCAAAGAGAATATTTGCGTTGCAAAGAAAGGCTATGAGAATTATTGCAGGACTAGGGTATATGGATGACTGCCGTGAGGTATTTGGCGAGCTTGATGTGTTGACTCTGCCATGTGTATACATACTCGAATGCCTGATATACGTTCACAAAAATAAAAATTTATATAGGACTCACGCTGAAAATCACAAAATTCAGACAAGAGGTAGGAATAGGTTAATACCAGTCCATCAACGTCTAACAAGGTGTCAAGACGGCCCTGGGTACTTGGCTGTAAAATTTTACAATAAAATTCCTATCAATATCATAAATTTAGAATTTGATAATTTCAAGAAAGAAATAAGAGGTTTACTCAATCAACGCAGGTTTTATTCAATAGATGAATTTTTAAACTACAACTTCTGATAAGAAACGAGTTTTAACATAACTTTAAGGTACTCAGTACAGTGTCTAAAATTTTGTATTAGTATATGTATTTTTATATTTTTTGTAACAGTAATTGAATTATGTATTATAGCTTGACGTGTGTAAATACAATTGTATGTTAACATAAATAAATGAAATGAAATGAAATGAAATGAAATGAAATGAAATGAAATGTACGCTAAATGCCCTTTTAGTTATGTTAGTAGAAAAAACATATTTTATGTTGAATTTTCTATATAAAAATATGTCATTGAAGTACATCATGAGTATATAAAGTGTCCAATGACAAAATAGGAAGAGTAAGTAGCTGTAAATGCATCAAACACAGGGGGAAAAAGAACTTTTTCTTGAAATATCTCGATAAATAATGGTTTGTTCACATTTTCAATATCAAATTCGTGTTTTTCAGACAAGAATACGTAAGTACCTAAAGATATTTTCGCAAAAAAAAAAACATCGCATGATAAGTGCAGTTTTACCCTTTGCCCATGTCTAAGCAACAGCCTTGGCCATCTTTAATTGATTGATTAATTGATTGTCTTCATCACCCCAAGAAACATATCTGTTTTTAATAGGGATACATGAAACATGAAATGAACCGTTTATTTTCTTGGTGATATCACCTTGCTGTGACATAATTTATTTTAGCAAATTTGGAAGAACGGTAACTTGTTTTTTTTTTTATGTCGTCCCAAGTATTTTATTATTTTTTTCTATTGAACTAATAGTCCTATGGAAAACAATACATTCTCATAACAAACGTTGAACTGACTGCTATGGGATAGAGTTCCTAAATGTACTTGACTCTGCTGATTTTGATGTTTTTTGTATATCAGAGAACGGACACTATGACAAGCACTGACAATCAGACATAACCACAAATAAATTGATGGAAATAGCGGGAACTGACAGTACACGGACGTACATGACATAGATTTCAAAGGATTGAAAAATTGAGATAATTAGCAGAAAGATGCAAGTTAGTGCAGTTTCCAACTTTGAGAACACGGGAAATCAATTCACTCTATTCGAATTTCCATCGGATAACGTAATTCTACAAGAATGGAAACATAATATGATGCAGCCGGCATGGAATATAGGTTCAGTCCACAAAATTTGCGAGGTGTTAAAATTTCTTGGTAGGAAGTTGAAGAATAGGATCGTATTGAGAGAAAGAGCCGAACCCACAATTCATAATCTGAGCGAGTATGAAAAAGAACCTTATTCCAATTTAGACCTTGGTTATTGCTTGTGATGGAATGATGGAGCATAGATCACAATAGCCACCATGGAGGTTATGGTCGATAATCTGATGATGAAATAGCAGCAACTTCCTGAATTGACTGACTCAAACTGATTTCGCATCCCTGTTCAACCAAGAACTCTTTAGATCATCTTCGTATACGAACTCTTACAATAATTTTGTGAAAACATATAGTCACTTTGTGGAACACACTGATGTACCAGATATTGATGTATCTATATCAAATAGTTGAATACATTGTTCGTGTATCACTTCTTCAAAGTTGAAATCCCAAGTCTGAATGTGCATGTTCATGCGTAGTTGAGAAGTGCTAGACGACTACATAGCTCCTGGTGGATTTTTAACCACTTCTTGGGTACCAAGATTCGCGCAAGATAATATCAGAGCACAGAACAAGAACGCTTACCGAGTGCACCATTTATGTTAGGTAATGAAAATGATTTTCCGATTGCCGGGTTCAACCAACAATCCCCTTTAGCAATGTGAACGGCAATCTGTAGTGAGTCGAGCGCTGAAGTCCATTTATACCTACTTCCGTATGTCTTGGAGAATCTATATTATTTATCCTAACTGAAATCAGCTGTAATTGTTCATTCATTTGTTTATTTATTAATTACTTATTACCTACCACTCTTGTACAAGTGAAATTGTTCCACACTAAATAAAAGTATGTTTCTCGAAATGTATCAGTTTTTACCCCATTCTGAACTTTTGTGATAAACAAATATTCAACTGAACGAATATAATATACCTACATATAAGAGACTAATTTCATAGGAATACTATATGTATTTCGTTGATATATATTATGTACCTACTAACATGATATCGACCTCCATTGAGGTCCTTCAGCATTATCATTCAATATTTCGAGAAGAAATAATTTTCTAATCAATTTATCGTACCCTTTTACCCACTTGAGGAGACGCTATGCACTCTCATACAAAAATCAAAGACAGAGAAAGATATATGGATGTACTCTTCCCAGGACTTGTGGAGGAACGGAAGATGCGAGGATCCTTTATCTAAGCAAAACACATATTCTTGTCCTTGTCTGGCAAAACATATGATTTGCTTCAAATTCGTTTGTGGTTATGTTTGATTGTCACTGCTTGTCTAGTGCCCGTACTCTAATATACAAAAAACGTCAAAACAGCAGTGCCAAGTACATTTAGGAACTCTACTATGGGCATACCTTTCAAAGATTCGTATTTGCAACACCCTATATCTCGAAAACGACGCGTTTGTTTGTATATGTTTATATGAACTTTTTTTATTATTTCAACGAGTACAACACACTGTTGAATTTTTTGTATTAAAAACCGAACCACCCTGTATTCATACCTATACTGACATATTATGTTATTTTCAAAATAGAAAATAAATAAACACATGTTCACCTATCCATACGAGAGATTATAATCTTGCAATCCCGACAGAGATCGCTCTGCCCGAGACGAAAGAAGTCACTCTCGAGACGCACCCGCTGCCCTTGCTGCCCTTGGCCGCCCACGAGCCGGCGTCCGCCCGACCCGCGGGCGGCAACTCCAGGACGGCGTCGCAGACCTCTGAAAGCTTGAGCGCGAGCGCGAGCACCGACTCCGATCGGACGCCGGTGCGCGTCGACTCGCAGGACAGCCAGCTGAGCGACACGGAGACGGTGACCGAGGGACAGCCGAGGTGGCCGCGCCAGAACAGCGTGAGTACCGGGACACCGCGGGTGCATAACTCGGCTGTTCCAAGTAGAAACACAGTAATGGGGAAGTTCACTTCAGATTAATTTTCAAAAAATAAGTTCGCAACTATATCATAATCAACTTACCTTTTATATCTGAAGTCCCAGCTACCAGGTTGTGACACATCCACGTGTAATATATTTTTTTTTTTTATTGTCTTTATTACCCCAAGAAACATTATTGTTTATAATAGGGATATATACAACAAAACATACATATTATAAAACATAATAAATCGAAACAATAATAATTGCACAATTATTGTTTTTCCTAAAAAAAAAAAAAGAATTATAATAAAATATAAAATGAAAATATCATAATCCATTACAAGTAATCAAATTGTGAATGATTAGTACTATCAAAGTTTACTGAGCAGATATTTCTTTAATTTCATTTTAAATTTTTCTGCTTCTTCTATATTTTTCAACTCATTAGGTAAGGAGTTATACGAAATTATTCCATTATGGAATATTGATTGTTTACCAAAATTTGACTTATAATTATTTGCTATCAATAAATTGAATTGCCTTGTTTCATGGGCGTGAATCGTATTAACTTCATTAAAATTCAAATTCGATATTTTCAATTCCATCCTGACAAAATCAATAAAACAACAAATTTTGAGTTTATATAATGAAACTAGATTCAGCAAGTCTTTAGGTTTGTATAGATTCGCAGTTGATTCTAAAAAAGGTAAATTGAAAATGCACTTTATTGTTTTATTTTGTAATTTCATGAGTGGCTTCAAACGTGAAATATTTGTACTTCCCCAAATAGATATTAGATATTGTATATTTGAATAAAAAAGACAGAAATAAATACTCTTTAGGTATTCAACAGGAATGAAATTTCGAATTTTATATATAATACCAGCAATAGGATTCAATTTTTTCCTCAATTGATCTATATGTAGAGTCCACGATAGTTGTTCATCTATATATAGACCTAAAAATTTTGTTACATTTTTATATTCAATGGATTTGTTATTGAAACATATTGGGGTATTATTCAATATATCCGTTTTTCTTTTTGAGATGTACATATACGTAGATTTACTATAATTAAGAGTCAACTTATTGGTCACTAGCCAAGATGATATTTGTTTCAAATCATTTTTAATATCATTATTGATATCGTTGAAATCTTTTGAAGCATAGATTATTGTTGTATCACTTGCAAATGATTTTAGTTTTCCTTTCAATTTCAAAGTAGATATTGAGTTGATATAAATTAAAAATAAAATTGGCCCCAGAACTGATCCTTGCGGTACACCACATGTAATATTCATCAAGGAACTACAAGTATTATTCACATCAACATACTGTTTCCTATTCTTCAAATAATTTTGGAACCAATCATGAATTTTGCCTCTGACACCTATTGATGATAATTAAGTCAATAAAATATTATGATTTACAGTGTCAAAGGCCTTACAGAGATCCAGAGACAGAATGCCGCATTTGTCATTGTCATCTATTCGTAACTGAATATCTGAAATGACATCCATCACAGCTACCTCTGTGTCTTTTGACCTACGAAATCCATATTGTTCACTAAACAATAGGCCATTATTTTCAAGATAATTTATTAGACGGTTATTCATAATTTTTTCTAAAATTTTGGAAAAGATCGGGAGAACAGAAATTGGTCTATAATTATTTAAATCATCTTTCTTCCCATTTTTGTGAATTGGTAATACTTTAGCAATTTTCATTTTGTCAGGAATAATACCAGTTTTGAGCGATTTGGAAATTATGTTTAACAAAATAGGAGCTAACTCAAAATTTGATTACTTTTACAATCTTAACAGTAATATAATCAAATCCACAGCATTTTCGAACATCCAGATCATCAATGATATTATCAATTTCTGAAATATTCGTGGGAATTAGGAACATCGATAGAACACTTGTAAAATATCTGTGCTTGCATACTCGACTTTGAGACACTCTTTAGTAATTATTTGAAACACTGAAACAATAACGTTAACTTCCGGATGGGTAGTTGATAACTCTTTAACTCATAATGAAAGTGAATATTTCAAATAACAGATTACTTTACCAGTGTTCCGCATATCACGTGACACAACTGAACAAAACAAAACTCAAAAACGAACTTCCACCAAATTGTGACAAACATTACTTTTGTATAGCTAGTATATCACGTGACATGAGGGATGCGTAAATCTAGCGCCAAATTGTATCTGACCAATCATGTGATGTTATTCCATCGTTTGGGTGGTATTTAGAAATCTCACAACTAGTATAACAGAAACCATAAATAACATTCAACATATGTTCCAAACCTAACAAGATATACTTGACAATTTATTATTCTTTCTAGGAACTAAACGTATTATATGCTTTGTCTTTGCATGGGCAAAAAGCAATAAACTCATCTCAGACCCCTTACAGTATGTGTTTGAAGAAAATAGCAAATAAATTAGTATCGTTAGATTCGTCACAATATCCTTTTTTCGAAAAGTGCTTGTCAAAAAATGGTCGCCATTTGAAAAATAATAGTTAGACACGAAAATGTAATTTTGCCAACTTGTCTTATTCATATCTATCATACTTGTCACTAAAACTTCGCGATTGTAATTTTCTGATATCACCTGAGGTCCTTAGATTAGTTTACTTCCGATCATGGCCACCTAGATGTAATTTCAAAAGTGACTCCGAAAAAATTAAGTAGGCATAGAAACTTTCGAAAATGTCACATTCTGATCTAGAATTGTCTCAGAAATCCAAAAATGTTACAATATAAAGGGTATTCCATTTAAAAATTTAGAACCGGATCCATTTCCGGTGAAACCGGAAGTGACCGGGAAGTGAAAAATATGTGAAAACTCTCCTCTTCACATACCATTTACCTATACCATTTTGATACACCTAATGGTCTAGAAGTTATGACTTGTCTAATAGATTCGTTGACACCCGGTATACAGCACACATGACATATGAGCACATTAGTTTGGATACCTACATAAAATTTTCCACCATTTCTCAACCATAAGTCTTAGTCTAAAATCAAAATTCATTTATTGATAGGTACTGCCTAAGAACAATCCCATTTGCTAAGACATATTAAACTTTTAGGAAAATTTGCTCACTGCCTCACAAAGATTATGCTGGAGTTGAAAAATCAAAAACTCGAAAATTATTGGTCATCGTTTTGATAATATATATACAGGGTGTTCCGAAACTATTGTGCCAAAATTCAAGGGTTGGTAGATCTCGCCAAAACAAACGTTTTTCACTTATTAACCCATAGGCGCATGCGCATGCGTTCAGTGAAAATAGCGCATTAAGGTCAGCGCAGTGGCATCCAACCTCGGACACGGGGAAACGTGTTTGTACCGGAAACCGTGTTAGTAAATGACATGAAATCACAAGCAATATATGGGAGAGTTTATAAAAAAAAAACACTACAATTTAGATTGAGTTAGGTTTTACACATTGCCACGACGCAATAATAAATGAGAAGTCTACGCAATACGAGTGTCGGGAGCGCAGCGATTGGTCTCGATCGTCAAAATCGGTAGAGCTGAGCACTCAATATCGATATTATTTATTTATGTATGTACATACGTCAAAATCGGTAGAGCTGGGCACTCAATATCGATATTATTTGAGTATGCACATATGTTAAACTTTTTTCTTGTGACACCTATTGGTACCGAAATAAGGTGCATGCGCCTATGGGTTGATAAGTAAAAAACGTTTGTTTTGGCGAGATCTACCCACCCTTACATTTTGGCACAATAGTTTCGGAACACCCTGTAGAGTTGAATCAGGAATATCATGTGGAAATTACGTATGATACGCCAATGTCCTCAATATAACCTAAAAAACAACAAGTGTCAGAAATCTAGTGTTTATCCCCAGAAATGAATAAAGATGGAACTATATAACTGTTTCACAAACACTTTAGAGTGAGAGGAGACGAGGATCTGTCCGTACCCTGGCAAGACGACAAATACGTCAATTTACATCAAGGGACCCTACTATACACCTACTATACACCGGCATGTGCATCTGTATATTATATCTGTGATCTTATGTTGTGTCACACAGCACAAAATGTTTCCACAGAAAATGATTTAGATTATTCTGAATGTTTTATTGTGTTCAATAATGATCCATTTTATGAGTGAAAAACTGGTCCGTGTCATACGGACTTGAGTGATGCAAAAAAGTATTGCCATTGACAATTTCCAGAATGCAAGCATTTTTTTTTTTTCTAGTTATCAATGCGAGAATGGGACATCCCCTACGACGAACTAAAAATGGGCGAGATGATAGGCACCGGTAGATTCGGTACGGTGTTCAGGTAAGTGAAACAGAAATTGGAACTAGTATATCATCCAGATGCTCCCTTGATGAACTCACATTTGTCGACAATATTATTGAAAGCAGCGTATGTTTCGGTGCTGATGTGTGAAGTAGATTTTTGCACGGAACAAGAATCCGAGTCGTTGTGAAGCAGCTTTCGCGATGGATCGGCCATGATTTTTCCATGACAGAGTATTGCTGTTGGTAATACCGATTGATTTTTCATTTCAGTACTCAGGAAGTCGATGTTCGTAGAAAAATAATAATACTAATAATAATATGCTTTATTGTTTTTCAGAGTTTCAGAGTTTCAATTATAAAGACATGCAAATACGGGACAATGTAGTCAAAATAAATACCACATTGAAATACTAAAATATCGCAATTCAAACGTATCACTATAATATTCCTGCAAACTGTAATAGGTAAACTGACAGTCATTCAGACCTAGCGTTTGAGTTCACAGGTATTGAAATAGCATTTTCAATATCAAATAATTGATTTGTTGTTCGCTTTTCTCGATAAATATGTTGTGAGGTTTACGTTATTGACTTCCTTTCATAACATTGCAGCAAAAAATGGGATCAACTTTCAAAAAGAATGAACTGTCCATTGTACCTGTATATCACCTGATGAAGCTACTGTGTTAGCGAAACATGTCATGTGTTTGATAATTTTGTGGAAATCTTATCGTTTGTGAAGTTTTTACATTTGCCATGGATTTCTATCAAGTAACGGCCGAGTCAATTCAAAACTTTGAAGATACTGGAATGGCCCATTATAGAGTGTTGACTACCTTTGTAGACATCCATTCCGATGCTTGGTATTACTATCAGCAATATTTCTTGGGAAAATCACGTGAGATCAATTGCTGAAAGTACCTTCCAAAAATTTGGTTTTCTGTTTCGGGCCAGGAGCTATTTCACTTCCAGTCAGCTGCTTATGATCTATAAGGCCCAGATCCGACTTGTCCTGGAATACTGTTTCCATATTTGGAGTGCAGCACCCAAACATACCCTGAAACTGTTGGATCTGTGCAAAAAAGGGCGATTCGTCTCGTGGGTGATGCCTCGCTCATCCAACGAACAGCGAGGCTCTGGAACACATTGCCAAGGGAGGTGTTCCCCGAGACATATAACCTCCAGAAATTTAAGAACACCAATTCCTACCTTCTTTCCCTTGGTTCTCACGATGTTCTCTGAACATTACAGGATATCCCTTTTCGTGGGAAACAGAACATGAAAAAAACGGAATCTTCAAATTTTAGGGGGCAATGGCACGGCGATGTGGCCGTCAAGGTCCTCGACGTCAACTACCTCAAGGACGAGAAGACGCTCGAGCAGTTCAAGAACGAGGTGTCGACGTTCCGTAAGACGCGCCACGAGAACCTCGTGCTCTTCATGGGGGCGTGCATGAAGCCTCCGAAGTTGGCGATCGTGACGAGCTTGAGCAAGGGCAACACCCTGTACACGCACATACACCTCAGGAAGGACAAGTTCAATATGAACAAGACGACGAACGTGGCGCAACAGATATCCCAGGTAGGTGATTGGAACTTATAAACTAGATAACAACGTTTTTTTTAAATCAAATTTTGACTTTTACTGCTAGAATATCAGACTTAATAACGATATACACCGCGATTCATTCATAAATCATTGAAAAGTATACGCCAACAACGCTAAACGCGAAACACGTTTGAATGAATGAAATCGCGAATGGTGGGGATAATAACAGACACTTGTATATTTTCTGGTGGGTGCTCAGACTAATCATCAAACGATCGAAAATAAATAGAGCACAAAGTTTCTTGGTCTATTTTTGAACAAAAAATTTAAATTTTATCTGCATGTTTCATACTTATGCAATAGACTTGCATCTGAATGCTATGCTATTTTATTTATTCATTTCAGTTATTGCATTATATTCTTTTCTTTATTTATACATTTTATACAAATATTATATAAAGTATAATTAATTTTCTAGTAGGAATGGCATGAATGATCAGACAGTTTTTCCTGGTATAAGATCATTCATGAAGTATTATCGACTGTTGTATAATTGAAATTACAAATAGTGAACAAAACTTACATATCATTAAGATATCTCAAAATAACAGTACTCATATTATAATGAACAAGAAGGGAAAAAACAGTGAAGAAAAATAAAAGAAGATTCATGTTCTTTCATTCGATGATATCTAAAGAATTCGGTTATGCTATGCTCTATTCGAGGTATGGAATTGCATTTTGGAAAACTTGTAATCACCAAATTTTACATTCTACTTTTATCTTACAAATAATGGCCTCACGTTATAATATGCAAAGTTAATCTAAGTACCTCTTGTAAAGAGTGTCAACGGTATCATTGAAAAGTACACGCCATCGATTCTAAACGCCAAACACGGTTAAATGAATGAAATGATAACAGACACCTGTACATCGCGATTCATTCATAAATCATCAAAAAGTCAAATGGAAGATGAGTTGCGCGAGTGAAGGACCAACAAAATGACATTCAAAAATCTCTGGTATGACTTCTTTTTTGAGTTATTTCTAAAAAACTGTGTCTCCAGATTTTCAATTTCATTTTTTTCTAACGTTAAAAACGTTAATAATGATGACAAACCTGAAAATACATCTCCATGGCAACTTTTGATGTCATTCAATTTAGCATTATCGATTTTCTGATCCAATGTTTCGTCTTTGAGTAATCATCATCAACTCCATTATTTTTTTCAAAGACGGCCCTGATATTTTCATTCAGATTCGAATAGCCATTTCCATTCTGATTTCGACGATATACTACATATTTTGATATTGATGCGTTTCGAGCTTATTTTGGCCATCATCGAGTAATTTTTGGAATAAGTACCAGAAGGTTCCATAATTCTGGAAAATGAGGTTGATTTATCAAATTTAATATTCAACAATGCTACATCAATATCATTTTAGAATACGTGAATAATCAATAAATCAATAAAAAATAACAGTGAAGAAATTGTAACATTCGCAAATGCTCAGAGCACCCAGTGCCCTCTAACGTACACTACTTTCAACTTTGGAACACACCTACACTCATAGAAAGCAGGAATCGATACATTTCGTAGTGCAGACTAGTACTTTATATTACAGCTAGACCTAACTCTTAGTTTCGCTATTCGCTCAGTGATGGCGCTAGTCGAACTCAGAGAAAAAATCAAGGAATTAGACAAAAATCATGTTTTCAATTGTTTATTAAACTTCAAGAATACAAATAATAATTATATAATTTACCTGAACATGTTTTGCAACAAATGTATTGTGAATTTGAGAAAGTATCATCATAGTCTCAATTACAGGTTAGGAAATGAAATTCTCAATTTTCTTCCAAATTAGTATGTTTGAGGTGAATCTCTTGGTGGATCTGTCAATTTCCATCTATTCCTGATTGGAGATTTCAAACTGTCAGCCTGGTCTGTTATAAAGTACCTGAAATAAACCATTAGAAAATATCAATATTCAGCTGTTGTACTTACCAAATTCAGTGGGATAAAATCAGTATTTTTCTGTGTCCAGTCTCTGTTGTTAGTATCACCTGTATTCCAGGATTCAGAAAGCATCTTCCGTTTCGTTTTTCACTAGCACTAGTTGTTATTTTCCGGAGTATTTCCAAATCCTAGGAAAATGAGTGGAAAGAATCTGATTCATAGATGGCACGACCATCGCGTTGACAGTGATGTCTGTAAACAGCTTCCTCACAGGTTTCGGGGTGAAGGGGGAAAGCTTCGATTGATTTCGATGGAGTTCGATTGGCTTCTATAGGCTTCCAGGAGCTTGTGGTGAAACTACACAAGGCTTCGAACCGATATTTTCGGGATTAGTGCCTGTTTTTCCCATGAACAGTTTCTCCTGATTTGTGGACTTGTCTCCAGCCATTATATGAGGTGATCATAAACCGAGTGTGAAACTTCCAGTGCTCCAGGCATCCAGAAACTTCAAACACGTGCCGGGGTTTTTTTTGTGAATCGTAAGTCTATTCTTTTCCACTCAAATTTCCATAAAATCTCTTCATGAATATCTTTTCCATTATTTGCAGTTGGTGAACCCAAATTTCCTAATTTCACATCATATGGGGAACAATATGATGTTTTTCTGTCCATTTTTGTATGAAACCCTCTGTAAGGGGTAAGTAAACATTCTCTGCATGAATGTCAGAGAAATAACATTTTTGTTATTTAGGGTTTTAGGTGGGACTATGTCCAAGCTATTTTTAAACAGTTGCCAGTGCCCTGGTTACTTGTAGATGTAGTTTTTTGCTGGGAAACTATAAGGGCAATATTATCAACCCCAAGCTGTTGCCAGTATTTCCATCCCGGGTGGTAGTAATGCCCTGCAGCTTCTCAATGAGAAGTTGACTCATGGAAGAGTCCTGTTAATTTTGTACCCAGGATAGAAGTTATTTTTCATTCTTGCTGAACTGAACCTGTGGAGCTGTCTGGACTGATGAATTCTGGAATGGGAATGGATCACCAATAACAAGGCCAGATATAACCTTTTAACGATATTTTGTTGTCATTTTCTTTTACATAACTTAGCTTTCACATTTGCCTCACCTGGAACCATATTATTAACTTTAACTCCTAGACTGTAAAATGTGAATTTACTCTCAAGCTGTGCAGCCTTCGCTCAGTACTGTGCGAATGCCATGATCATCATCCTCAATGTTATTTTGAGAATAATATTTCATACACAACATTACTTATGATTGTTGACAATATTCTTTAACTTGTCAATTATGATTTACTCAGGTGAGTTACCATGGTGAGAAGGTAGTATAAATGTGTGAATATCACCACATATTATTCAGCTAAATTTCAGTGTGTGATATACAGGGTGATCTTGTCGGTTCAACAAGGCTTCAGGTCAGATAGGTACTTGTTAATTGATTGTTTTTTTTTTTGGTAAATATATGTAAATATCTGGGTGAATATAATTTCTATACATTCCCCCTCTTCCTGAGTTGATTGACGTTGGTTTGACATTATGAAAATTTAAATATATATATATTTTTTTTGATTGTGAAGAACTTTTCAAATTTAAATGGATCTTGTTTTCTTGACTTGGACAAGGCCAAATATCCTAAGTACTTCAAGTCAAGTGGCGCCTGGGTAAGTTTTCCTCTTCTTTTTTTTTTTTTTTTGGAAACTTATGAATTTAAATAAATTACATAATAAATTGTTAACCCCGACCTCCATGCTCTCTAGACAACAACGCTAACGGTGCAGTGACTTTTCAATTTTCCATAGAAAGTTGAAAGCGTTACAAGTGGCGCTGCCAACGTGTGGGCCCGAAATATATTGTGTAATCACTTTTCTGAAATATTTTCATATTGTCAATACCGATACAACTCTTATGGAGAGTGATGAATTGTAGAAATTATTAAATAAACAGATGTTAGGATGAAATAACTTCATAAAGAAAACCATTTTTTTATCAATCCAGATAGCAAAGTTTTACTGGGTTTTGCATATGCATTAGGACAATTCCCTTTTTTTGTCTCAGTTTCTTTTGGCTGATCACTTTGAGATTTCCAACGGGTCTTGGTGATTGATAGATTCATCTGATTTCACATACAGGGTGGACATATATAATTGAAAATAAATTCAATTTTTTCTGAAGTACACTGATTGAAATTTCTTCTGGAACTTGCATTATTCAAGGATAGTGTGTGTTCAAATTTACAAAAAAAGAAAATTTACTATTATATATATATTTTTTTCAAAATGGAGGATACTATAAAGCCAACTCATTTGTTGTGTGAAGAATTGAATTATGAACTAGCTATTAGAGGTTTAGTCACTAGTAAAACTCAAGATGAAAAACGTAAAATTTTAGGACGTATGTTCGATAGAGAAAGAAATAGACCAGGAAGTACTATCACTATGACACTTTACCGTTTTGACTTTGAGACAGAGAAAACTGCAATTGATGGTACAATTGAATCTATAGCAGCTTTAATAAGAGAGTTTGAGGGAAATACAGAAGATTCTTCATATAAACGCGCTGTATCTAGAATTGCTCATGTCACTGGTCGAGTTAAAAGAATACCCATACCCGAGAATCGGAGGGATGAGGTAACTCTCTATAAAAATGAGACCTTAGCTTCCTGTTTATTGTTAGAGGCTGACTTAAATGATAAAGTTCAAATTGCTGTAGGTACAACACAGGCTGGACCTTCGAGTAACTATACCCAACCTGTCATTAATATTCCTGCACCGGTGGTCACGTACAATACTCGCCAAGTTCCTATTTCAGATTGGGGTTTGAAATTCAGTGGGGATAGTAAAGAACTTTATTCTTTTCTAGATAGGTTGACCGCATATGCTCAAGCTCGTGGTTTAGACAATTCAGAACTGTTCAAGTCAGCGGCTGAATTATTTTCAGGAAATGCCTTCATGTGGTTTTTACAAGTTCGATCAAATTTAAATAATTGGGACAGTTTAGTTGAACGTTTGAAAATTGATTTTTTACCTCCTCATGCAGAAGATGATATCTGGGAT